CCTCACCCCTCTGGGGGCCGTTGTCTGGGGAGCCGTCCACACCCCCCCAGGCCGTACCCCCTCTCTTGAGTCCCGAATTGGGCAATGCATGTTCTGGCAGTCGGTGGGGGAGGGGGAAGGGGAAGGGGGAGTGGCAGGGGGAGTGGGTGGGTGGGCTGAAGGAAGGCGTGGGTGAAAGGAGGGAGGAGGAGGTAATAGGTGGTGGGTTTAGGCACAAGGCCGGAAGGGTGGCGGTAGTGGTGTTGCTGGTTGGTTGCTGGGCGGGCGGTGGCCTTACTCAGTGGGGCGCGGTGTAGGTGTACGAGGCCGAAGAAAAGGCGAATGGACGGCGGTGCGCCATCAAAGTGCTGTCAAAGGACCACATCATGCGTGAGGATAAGATCCGGTATGTGACGACGGAGCGCGACTTGCTTGATCTGTGCAAGCACCCGCTGGTGGTTCGACTGTACTATACGTTTTCGGATCCGTCGTCACTGTACTTTGTGATGGAGATCGCTGAGAACGGCGAGCTGCTGACGTGGCTGCGGACGTTGGGGCGGTTCGACGTGCCGACGTCGCAGTTCCACATGGCGGAGCTTGTGTCTGCACTCGAGTTTCTGCACTCGAAGAACGTGGTCCACCGCGATCTCAAGCCGGAGAACGTGCTCATCACGGCCGACTGGCACCTCAAGATCACTGACTTTGGGACGGCCAAACTTCTCGAGCCGGCTGACGGTGGTGAGGGCGAAGGCGAGGGCGATGGCGGGGCAGGTGATGGCACGGCATCCGAGACAACCATGGCGCGGTCTAACTCGTTTCTGGGCACGGCCGAGTACGTCTCGCCCGAGCTGCTTACCGACAAGTATACGTGCAAAGCGTCGGATTTGTGGGGCCTCGGGTGCATTCTGTACCAGTTGCTCACGGGCGCGATGCCGTTCCACGCCGCGACTGACTATCTGATCTTCCAGCGCATCCAGAAGCGCGACCTCAAGTTTCCGGACGACTTTCCGTCGGACGAGGCGCGCGGGCTGGTAGACGAGCTCCTGGAACTGGATCCAGTGGAGCGGATCGGGGCTGGGCCCGGCGGGTATGACATGCTGCGGGATCACTTTTTCTTTGAAGGCGTCAACTGGGAGCGACTGTGGGAGCAGCCTGCGCCTGACCTCTCGGTCCTATCGCCCGAGATGGCGGCCGGGACGGACGCGTGCGGCGGCGACGACTCGCGGAGCCGCGGCGAGAAGCTTGCGCTGCAACGCCAGTCACAGTGGGCCGACTTTGTGGGGGACGACGAGCTCATTGTTAAGAATGGGCTGGTGTTCAAGAAGAAGGGCCTCTCAACCAAGAAGCGCATGCTGTTCCTCACCGACAAGCCGCGGCTGTTTTACGTCGACCCGAAGAAGAACGTGGTCAAGGGCGAGATCCCGTGGTCGGGCGACCTCTCGCCGGAACTGGTCTCGGCCAAGAAGTTCCGCATCCACGTCCCGGATCGGTCGTACAATCTGTCCGATCCGGACGCGACGGCGTCCGAGTGGGTCGAGGCCATTGGTGACCTGCTTGCCTCGAGCTAGCTGAGACCGAAGTGCGCGGCGGCTTCACTGCGCGGCGGCAGGCTCGTTCTCGTCGTCGAGCGTGGTCGTGTACGACGCAAGCTCGGCATCGCTCGACGAGAACACCTTGGTGGCGCGTGCGTAGGCGGTACGGAGCCACTTGGGGTGGGTCACCATGCTCAGCATGCCCTCGCCGTCGAGAAGCTGTAGCGAGTCGGTGAGGTCGGCACCGGCGAGGAGGGTGTCGATGGCCGACGCGGCAAAGAGCGGCGAAAACGGCGCCGGGCGGCCGAGGCACGTTGCCTGCGGCGCGTACGCGTCGGAAAACGCGCCGAGCATAAAGCCCCAGTGCGAGCGGAACGAGGCCACATCCGTCGAGTAGCCCAGAACGTGCGGGTAGACCGCCTTCATGGTCGAGTACGTGTGGACATGCATTTCGAGGAACGGCGAGACCTGGCCGGCCTGGAGGACGTACACACCCTCGGGCGAGAGGACGCCGCGGACAGAAGCAAAGACCTCGCGGGTGAACAGAGCCTGTGACGGGCCGTCGTCGATCGGATCCGACAAGTCCGAGATGACCACGTCGAAGCGCGGGCCGTTGGCATCGGCGCCAGCGTCGGCCAGGTACTTGAGCGCATCGCCGATGACCAGCTCGACCTTGGGATCGTCAAAGGCGCCGGCTGAGAACTCGGGCATGTGCTCCTTGCACGCCTCAACCACCTCGCCGTCGATGTCCACCATGACTACCTTGGTCACCGACGGCCAGCGGAGGGCCTCGCGGGCGGTGGCGCCCTCGCCGCCGCCGAGAATGAGGACGGTCGACGGACCAGCGGCTCCATGGGCGGCAGCATAGGCCAGAAAGGCCGGATGAACCAGCGCCTCGTGGTAGTGCGCCTCATCGCGGCTCGACGACTGCCACGAGCCGTCCAGCACCAGCGAGCGGCCGTAGAGCGACGAGTCGACAATGTCCAGCTGCTGGAAAGCCGTGGTCTTAGAGAGCACCACCGCATCGAGCGCAAGGACAGAGTGCTCGAGCTCGGAGTACACCTCCACAAACGATAGGCCAGACTTGTACATGGCAACGGTAGGCTGGGGTGGGGTGAGGGAGAGGTGATGGGCCCGGTGGTCGCAGAGGATGGATGGTGGCCGAGTCCGGGAAGAGGGGACGGCTGATGGGGTGGGGTGGAGGAGGGGGGATCGTGGCTTTGCCGACGTGAGGGTTTCGATGCAGAGGGGGGGATGGGCGGGTTCCAGGAGTGCGATCTCGCCTTGGTTGTAGTTGTGGCTGGCCAGGCCGGAGTTCGGGATCTTGCCGGTGCGATGACGGCTTGGCGAGTGGCGTGACACATGGTCTGACGACGGCATAGATGGCAGAGGCGATGTGATCAACTATGTGGGTATCAACATTGTGCTAGATGATGACATGCCGCTTAACACCCCGCCGAGCCATCGCTTGACCCGTGCGATACCGTGGGCACGGGGCACCATTCCGATGGCCGACTTGGCCACAAGCAGCAGGTCGAGTGCCTGTCAGAGGTAGCAGAGCTCCCGAGGTCAGCAGCTGTTCATGAAGCCATGGCGCACACCCTCGACACCAACCTCACACTCTCCTGCTCACTGCCTCACCTCACTCATAACAAGGTGTCGGCTGGAGGGAATACTCATTGGCTCTGTCTGCTTATGCCGTCGCAAAGGAGTTGGACTCGGGCAGGGCTGGCAGTGGTGGTCTTGATGGTGGTGTGCCTGGCTTGCTCTGGACTGCCTGCCTGTGGTCTCGCTCTGGATAGCAAGGCATACGCAAGGGTCCGCCGGCCACCATTGCCACCACTGCATGCTGATGTAGGGAAGGGGAACGGCCGTGGCTCAGCTCGTCAGCACGCTGGCGCTACTGTGGCCATGTGGATCTTTGTCGCGCCGCCACCGCCACCGAGCTCACCCTCACCTCCCGGTCACGCTCCGTACCGGTCTATCATCCGCAAGCCATCCAACTCGTCATCGGCCATTCCGGCGCTGTGGCTCCACCCGGCGCCCAGAGCCGGCTTGCGGGTGGCCGCGCGCGGATCATGGGTCTTTGATCAGGCCGCTGTTGTCGACTCGCCGGCGACTGTCACCCTTCTGCCCGGCGCCTGGCACGCGCTCGCCCTCGTCGTCGAGTATGGCGCCCAAGCGGACACAGCCCGGGTTTACATCAACGGCTCGCTAGCGTTCTCGGCGTCGTGGCCGGCCCAGCCGCTCGCACCGCAGCACTCGTTCGTCACCAACACCGGCGACTGGTTCATCGGGTGCGATCCCTGGTCCAAGAGCGGCTTTGCCGGTGCAGTCGAGGGCGTTGTCGTCCGCGATGTGCCACTTCCTGCTCCGCAAATTGCCGCGCTTGCCCACAAAAACAACGAACTTGTTCTCTCACCGATCTTTGTCCAGGTCTTTGACGCTGCGTCTTCCCGCCGTGACGCCAAGGTTGTCAGCTGGCAGGCGAGCCGGGGTGAGGGTGAAGCCAGCAGCGCGTCTGAACACTGGGCGCTGGCGTATGCGCGCTCCGACTATGCGCGCATTGCCCTCGACGGCGACCCGCAGTCCTCACTCGTTCCACATCCGATGCTCACCGCGCTCCGCCATGTGCCGGCGTCTAGGATTTGCGCCAGCCTGGCCCTCGACATGCAGATGGGCGCAGCTGACGCGCTGCTGACACAAGCGTGGCAGGCAATGTGGGGCCTTTGCATGCCGACTCAGCCCAGCGCTGCCTTTAAGCTGCTGGAGACAGCCGTCAGCGAGCTGAACGATGCTCGCGCAGCGCTGCTCCTCGGCGCGCACCATGCTGCAGGTGGACGCAACGTGTCAGCGCAAGCCTACTTTGATCTCGCGACGATGCTAGGGCTGCCGCAGGGCGCGGTCGCGTCCGTCGACGGTGGCCGGGACCGTCCGGTCGAGGCGTGGCGTGCGCTGGCCGATGAAGGTCTCGCAGCGACGGCAGCGTGGAGCGCGCCACCGTCGCTCGCCATGGTCCCGGCTATTGCCACGGAAGCAGCCCTCCTCGCCCGCCCGCTGGTGCCGGTAGGCGACGACGCTGACCTCCCGCTGCCGCGGTTCTTTGAGACTGAGGTTCAGAGCTGGGTCAGGCAGCTTCTTCCGGGAGAGTCGGCTGACATGGCTTCCGCGCGTGCAAGAGTTGCCACTGCTCTCTCGTCACTGGTCCATGGTGACCATGCGCATGCGCAGTCGATCTTTGGGCGCGAGATGCAGCGGGCCGCCGCGCCGCGTCGGGTTGCCGCCATTGCGGCCATGTTCCAGGGCGTCATGGCCCAGCATGGCCTGGGCGAGACCAAATCGCTGCCACGGAGCCTGGTACACTACCAAAAGGCGCTCAGCGAACTTGCTACCATCAACGGCGGTGCGTCGGCGGCAGGCGATGCTGGCGCGTGGTACGTGCGACTGCACTGGGCAACTGCGCTGTGCGAGGTCGGCCAGATTGTTGAGGCGGCCAAGCTGCTGGCGGTCAACGCGCGGGACACGCATGCCACACCCATCGATGGCGACGAGCTGCTTGCCACAGCCTGGCTCGCACTCCGTGATGCAGCAGGCGCCCGCGGCGCCACACTCGACGCCAGCGTGATACCGAGCTACAGTTCGCTGCTCGACACGCTCGTCGACGCCGGCTCGCCGGTCGGACAGGCTGGCCGCGGATACCAACTCATCGAACGGACAGTGGTCACGCCGCCGCCGCATGCTCCCCCGCTACCGCGCCAGCAACTCGAATCCATGGAGTACTCCGCGCGGTCGCTGCTTGTGGCGGCCGCCGGTCGTGCACCCAACCATGTTCAGGCACTGGGTCTGGCATGGTTTGCGGCACGAGCTGGAGCGTCCGATGCTGCCCTCACGCTCTACAGCATAGCAGCATGGTCTGGCTCGCGCGTCGCCGCCCGCAACGCACTTGTGGTCATCGATGACCTCTTCCGCACTCGCGACGGGTCCGATCCGGCGCTGGCCCGGCTCCGTGCCCGCTTTGTCCACATCCTTGCTGACTGGTCGTCACCGGACCCGTACGCGGGGCTTGAACTCGGCTTGGCCGCCGAAGCTCAGGGCGACCTTCAGGGTGCCCTGCGCTGTTACCTCATCGCGGCGCAAGCGCCGACGTCGGACGACGAGCAGCTGCCGCAGCAGGAGGCCGGGCCCATCGCTTACGCCGCCTTTGCTGCCGCGCGCCTTGTTGCCGGGCACCCGAACCTCGCGTCGTCGTCTCCACACACTGCCAGCGAGCTGCTTGCGCTGGCCCTGCGCATCGATCCATGGCACGCCTGGCTCCCTGTCGGCGTTGCCAAGACCTGGATGACCATTGCACCGTGGCTGGGCCTCCCGCGAACCTGGCCGCTGTGATCCCGACAAAAAACTGCATTGTGTCGGCAAATGTATGTGAGGGGACCCGAGTGAGCGGCTCTTTGTTGGCCATGGGAGGCGTGGGACGAGCGAGGACACCACATCACACACTCCACTCTCGCGCATCACTCATGGCGACGGCACCGACCAGCCCGTTCCCGCGATTTGTGGCTGCGTCTGCCGGCTCGGAAGAGCCTGTGCCGACGCCTGCTGCAGAGAGTAACGACACCCACACTGGAGATGTATGTGCAGTGGTGTGTGGTTGTGGTTGTGGTTGTGTGTGTGAGTGTGTGTGTGTGTAGGGGTGGGTGGGTGGGTGGGGGGTGGGTGGGGGTGGGGTGGAGACTCACAGCTGGGCATGGGACTGGGCGTGGGACTGGGTATGGGACCTGGTGTGTGTGGGGGGGGGTGTTACAGGATCCGCTGATGTACCAGTTCATTGCGGGGACCAACTCGGGCCTGGCGGGTAGGTGGTGTGCTGCCGGTGGACCTGTGGGAGGGAGGGAGGGGGAGGGGGTGAGTGGGTGGTGGTGTAGGGGCAAGTGGGTGGGGAGGAGGGAGGCGGTGGTGGTGGTTCAGGCGACTTACGGTGTGATGAGGGGCGGTGGGTACTGCCGGTGACTGGGGCGGGCGATGGGAAGGGTAGTGGTTATGGTGGGCCATCCGTTTGATACGCTCAAGGTGCGGCTGCAGGTCGATGGGGCAGCGGGCGCGCGCAAGTACAAGGGCCCACTGGACTGTCTGATCAAGACGGTGCGGAACGAAGGTGTGATGGCGCTGTACAAGGGGGTGCGGTCGCCGCTCTCGGGCACGCCGTTCATCTACGCATGCTCGTTTGGAGGGTGGGGGCTCGGTGAGTACCTGCTGAAGGAGTATGTGCCGTCGGCCATCGAGCCCAAGACCGGCGGCGAGGCCGGCGAGACGCAGCTGACGGTCCCTGGCCTCTTCTACATCGGTGTCTTCTCTGGCTTTGTTCAGTCGTTTGTCTACGTTCCCACCGAGCTGGTCAAGAAGCGGCTGATGATCCAGGACAACGCCAAGGGCGACGTTGGCAAGCTCCGCTACAAGGGCATGATCGACTGCGCCCGCCAGGTTGTCAAGGAGGGTGGCATCCGCTCGCTCTACGTTGGCTTCCCACTTGTCCTCGCCGGCTACATGCCTGCCGTTGGTCTGTGGTACGGCTCGTATGGTTACTTCCGCCGCAAGTTTTCCAAGAAGGGCGAGGAGAAGAACCCATCGCCGCTGGTCTCGATCGCTGCAGGTGGCCTGGCCGGAGTTGTGGGTACGTTGAGGGCGTTTGGCACAGTTTGCGTGAGGGGGGACAAAGGAGGAGGAGCAGAGAGATATGACGATAGACTCACAGTGCAGGACTTGGACGCTCGCAGCCTACGGAACCTTCTTCCCGCTCGACCTGCTCTCGGCGCGGCTGCAGACGGCCGAGGTGTACAAGGGCCCGCTCCCGATCATCAAGCAGGTGTGGAAGAGCGAGGGCCTGCGCGGGTTTTACAAGGGCTACCTGCCGTGCTTGATGCGGGCGTTCCCGGCCGATGGCGCGCTCTTCCTGGCCTACGAGGTGACGATGAAGGCGCTCCGCAAGATCAACCCTTGAGCCCGGCCTGGCCGCGAAGCGCCTTGCGGGCCATGTCGAATGGGATGATGAGCGTGGCAAGGCCAAAGACCCAGGCCCACTCGTCTAGAGTGAGCGGGACGACACGGAGGAGGGAGCCAAAGAAGAGCGTAAATGAGACCTGGACGACAAAGATGAGCGGAATGACGACGAGAAAGCCCCTGTTGTCGCCGAGCGCTTCGAGGAGCCGGATGTGCGGGACGCGGACGTTGAAAGCATTGAGGGTGCAGACAAAGATAAAGAACGAGAAAAAGGCGGTGAGAAAGACCGGGCCGCCCTTGGCGTCGAGCTCCGATGGCGTCTCCACCTTGGCGGTGGCCGCGTCACCACCGCCGGCTGAGCTGTACGCCCCAGACGGCGGCCGCCGGGAGAACAGCTCGACAATTGGGTCCCAGACCAGAAAGGCAATGGCGGCAAGAGCAATAAAGGCGCCGTTGACCAGGAACGACGCCGCCATGTCAACAGTGACAATCGGCGCCGACCGCGAAATTGGCGCGTCGTCCATGTACGCTTCGAGCGCAGGCTCGCCGCCAAAGGCCAGCGCTGCCAGGGTGTCCATGACCATGTTGACCCAGAGGAGCTGGATGAGGGTGAGCGGAAAGTCAAAGCCACAGAACGGGCCGAGGAAGACGATGACGGTCGAGGCCACGTTGACGGTGGACTGAAAGACGATAAACTTGAGGATCGAGGTGTAGATGGTACGCCCGTAGAGGGTGGCGTTGAGGATCGATTGGATGTTGTTGTCGAGAATGACAACGTCCGATGCCTCCTTGGCGATTTCCGAGCCGGAGCCCATGGCAAACGACACGTCGGCGAGCTTGAGCGCAGCAGTGTCATTAATGCCGTCGCCAGACATGCCGACGACTCGGACTGACGAGCTCCGCGACTGCAAGACACCGGGGCTGGTCAGTCCAGCTTCCAGCGCGTCGATGCCGCGCGACGACGGCCGCACCGGCGCCTGACCAAACAGCAGCGCCGCGAGCCAGGCTCGGAGTCCCCGCGGCTGTGGCACTGGCTCCGCGTGCCCCACCAGGCGAGGCCTCCGCGACGCCTGTGCAACACGCACAAGACGCGACTTGTCCGACGGCAGCGCCCGCGCCACGACGCGGAGGTGCGGCAGCCGCTCGGTGAGCTCAGCGTCCGAGAGTTGCGCCAACTGCGCAGACGTGAGCAGCGGGCTAGTCGAGTAAGCCGGATCAAAAGCGTGGGCTTTGAGCGGCTGCTCCGGCATGGCGTTGGCGTCGAGGAGGCCGGCCTTGGTCGCAACCGCGGCAGCAGTCTCTAGCCGGTCGCCGGTGATCATGACGACCTGGATACCGGCGCGTTGGGCGAGCGCGACTGCTCGCGGTGCTTCGGGGCGAAGGGTATCGGTCATGCCAACGACGCCAACTAGGATACACCCGGATGGAACAGCATAGCGCGGAGTGTCGCTGGTACCATTGTCGTCAGAGCTGCCGGGGGACGAGGTGTAAAAGTGCGGCTTGACAGCCGCCGACGTGGCAGCCAGCGCCAGAAACCGAGTGCCGTCGGCAGCGGCGGCAGTGACAGCGTCCAGGAGGCGAGCGCGGCGCTCAGCATCAAAAGGAACGACGTCTCCAGCGCGCGTGTAGCAATGGGTGCAGGACAGGACGATGACTTCAGACGCGCCCTTGATGAGCGTAATCGACTCGGACGACAAGCTGGTGCGCGATGGAGTGCCGCCGCCAGCACTGCTCCCGGCCACACCACGGAAGAGGGCGCGGTCATCGGCAGAGACCGCAAGCTGGATCGCCGAAAACTTGTGCAACGACGAAAAAGGACTTGGTCAATGACTCGGGCACCCTCGTCGCGACGAGCGGCCTGAGTCAGCAGCGAGTCCGGCAAGAAGCGCAGCAGGGCGCGATCGGTCGGATTTCCGCCGGCAATGACCGGAACAGGCGAGCCTGCCGAGGAGGAGACCACTGCCGAGGTCGAGTGCAGGATGGTAAAGGCGGTGAGGCGGGCAAGATGGGGCGGGAGGGCGGCATACGAGGGATAGGGCTCGCCGTCGGGTGCGTGCAAAACGCACGGGACAAAGGTGCCGTGGGTGAGGGTCCCGGTCTTGTCGACGAGGAGCAGGTCCATGCAGCCTGCGGTCTCGATGCCGATGAGCCTGCGAACAAGGACATTGCGGGCAAGAAGCTTGCGCATGTTGAGCGAGAGGACGATGGCAATCATCATGGGCAGACCCTCGGGAACAGCAACAACTACCACGATGATGGCCAAGATGAGCGAGGTGACAATGTCGTGGAGCGCAACCGACCAGGTGCTGAGGTAGGCCATGGCGCCGGCCAGTGAGTATCCGTTGTCCATAATGACTTGCTTAAAGAGGAACGAGACGGCGATAGCGGCAGCGCCAATGTAGCCGAGGCGGGCAATGATGTCGGCAAGGTGGCCGAGCTTGACCTGCAGCGGGGCGAGACGGCCAGAGTCGGCGCCCATGTCGGCGGCAGCCTTCCCGTAAACAGTGGCCACACCAACGGCGCGAACGTGAAGAACAGCTTCGCCCTCGGTCACTAGTGAGCCGCGGAAGACACACGACGGATGAGCCAGCGAGAGCGCACCGTTCCCGAGAGCGTGGTCTGACAGCGGTGCGACCTTGTGCATGGTACCGGGCTCGCCGGTGAGCGACTGCTGTGAGACATGGAGCGAGCCCGAGACAAGAACGCCATCGGCAGGCGCAGCATCGCCGGCCTGCAGCAGCACGTAGTCGCCGACCACCACGTCGTCGATGGGGATGACAGCGAGGCCTGCACCTGCGCGAAAGGCCGAGACCGTGATGCGCGACGCCTGGGCCTGCAGCGCTTGGAACGAGGCCTCGTTGCGATACTCAGAGTAGGTGGCAACAAAGGTGGCAACAAAGACGGCAGCAGCGATGCCGACGCCCTCGACAAAGTCGGCGTAGCCGAGCACCGCCAGCCCCATCGTCACCAGCAGAGCCAAGCAGAGAATCCGGATGAGCGGGTCGTCAAAGTTGTCTGTCCATGCGATGAGTGCGAGGTGAGTGGGAGGACCGAGGGGAGGGGGAGGGGAAGGGAGATGACAGAGTCATGAAAGCAGTGCAGCATGCACGCCATCCACCACTTACCCTTCAGCTTGTCCATAAAGGTCTCTGTGGCCGGCGGCGGGAGGGCATTGCTTCCAAAGCGGGCGCGGGAGTCAGCCACGTCAGCGGGGTGTAGGCCCTCAAAGGCTGCAGTGAGGACCATGGGGAGGAGTGGGGTGGAGAGGAGAGGTGGTGGTGGTGGTGGTGGGTGGGGGGTGGGGTGGGGTGGGGTGAAGTGGCTGAGGTGCAGGCGTAGGCGTAGGCGTAGGTGTAGTGGCAGTAGCAGTGGCTTTGGTGAGGCGGGTGAGTCGCCACAGGGAACGGCGATGGGCAGACAGCCGAGCGGCTCTCTGTGGCTGTGGCCTGAAGCCGGGACTGTGGATTGTGATAAGCACCTGACTTTACCTTTGTCTTCAGGGGAGACTATGGGTTCCAAGAGCAGAAGCAGAGGAACTGGTGGTCGGCGCAGTGGCGGTGAGGTTGGCGGTGAGGGTGGCGGTGGTGAAAGTGGCAACACTGTTGGTCGTGGCCTGGAGGTGGGCGCAGAGGCGGATCCGGTGGCCGGGCTCAACGCCATGGTGGCGGCAGGGTGGAGGAAGGTGGACAAGCATGGTGCGGCTGAGACGTTGGTGCTGCTGGGCTGTGTGGTGGGCATGCTGGCGTGCATGGCTGGGCTTCCGTTTGTGGTCATCCGCGGCGCGCCGCTGGTGGCCGGCGGTCGTGACGGCGGGCTGATGTTCATGTACCCGTCGCGAGGCTTCCAGCTGGGTCTGGAGACGCTGTGGGTGAGCGGGCTCAATCTAGCGCTTGTGGGCATTGTGTGGGCGCTGCTTGATCCACCGCGGGTGGCGCGCGGGGGCAAACGCAGCCGGCGCGATGCGGAGCGGGCGTCCTCGGCGCAGGTGTGGATGCTTCCGCTGGTGTGCGGCATGCTCGTGATGGTCTCGCTCCTCTGCCTCACTGTCCAGCTCAAGGCTGGCTACTTGTTCAATCCCATGATGCCGTGGTCGCTTTTCTCATGGAGCTATTTCAACAAGTTTGGGTGAGCGAGCCTTGTTGCTACTTCTGTGGCCGGAAGGTGAGCGAGAACGGGACGTCTTGCGTGCGGCAAGTGTTGAGAAAGGCCGCCATTGTCATGGAGTAGTCGATTTGGATGTTGCCAGATGAGGTTCGCATCTTGTGTCGGCGGTAGGCGACGCCACGCATGCCGACGCGGACTGCGACGGCGCGCATGGCTTCGTCGACGGTTGTCTCGGATGAGGTGCTGACCCAGAGGCTTTGCCCTTCAAACGACTCGACGCCGCGAATGATTACCTTAAAGACCAGTGGGATTGGTTGGGATTGGCCAGGCGGCGCGCGCTGCGGCGCATCCAGCAGGATGCAGGATTCGGGCGGCGGCGCCTCGGTCATCATCCTGCCAAGCACCGACGCAGGCTTGATCGAGTTCCGGAGCGAGGCGATGTCGATGTGACGACTTGACACGGCAGGCTGCGGCGAGTCGGCGCGTGGACGGGCGAGAATGTGCTGGCGCTTGGCGCTCGACTGCTGCCTGTCGGGCCCAGTAGCGGGCCGACGTTTGCGCGAGTTAGCAGCCGACGCCGGTGACGGTGGGATCGGCAAGCCCGGCGCTGACGAGAGGCCAGACCGGCCATCAGCTGAAGCTGGCGAGGCGTCGGCCAAGCTGTGACTGCTGGCATGCACCCTAGAGTGCAAAGGGCGTGATCGGATTGCGGATGTTGCCCGTGATGACGTTGTCGGCCGAGAGCGGCCCGGAGCCGAGTATGGCACCATATCGTCGTCATCAGAGACGGCCTCCTTTTGCTTAAAGAACGAGTCGTTGCTTTGCTGTTGCTGGCGGTGCTGCAGCGTAGCGGCCTGAAAGGCACGGACTGACTTGGCAATGGCTGGTGCAAGACCTGCGGTGGCAGAGATCGACGGCGGGTACGGCGATCCTGACGGCGGAGCGACGAGGTTGCGTGCGCGGCGGCGGGTGGACTCAGCCGGCGGCGGAGGAGCCCGAAACGTAAGATCCTCGACCAAGCAGCGGAGGAGGTCATCATCGCGGGCTGCCCGCTTCGAGATGCAGTGCTGGCGGCAGACAGGGCACTCTTTCTTGGCAACGCGGAGCGAGGTGGCGAGGCAGACCTTGCAGAACCGATGCAAACAGTTCTTGATGGCCTGCGGACAGTCTAGGACGTCCTTGCAGATGGGGCAGGTCATGACCTCCCGCAATGCGGCCGCATCTAACAGCAGTACGTGATCATCGCTGGTCACAGCCGACAGCACAGGCCCAGCCTCCTTCTCAGATTCGGCCAGGCTCGGCCATGCCCCCCGCCGTAGCCTCGACGAGCCATAGGCCTGTCTTGTGGGTAGCGACAGTTGCAGGAGGCAGCAGCAGCAGCGAGTTGATAGAAGGTGAGCCAGAGAGCGTTTGGTGATGAGATTGAGCTGACTGTGGTGAGTGGTGTGTGCGTGGGCGCCACCGATGATGATGTGTGTGTGTGGGTGTGGGTGAGGGCGCGGGAGGGTGCAAGGCGGCGGTGTGCACCACTGGGCAGATGCTAGACAAGGCCGATGTCCATCGCGAGCGATTCGGGCATACTCAGTCGCCTCAGAGTAAGCGACTGCCTACATCAACACCCAAGCATGGGCTCAAGTACATGAAATAGTCATGTACATCAAGGATGGTTGGTCCGTTGCCAGGACAATCTCCCCACCCTCGGCCGAGCGTGATCGCGATCGGGCCACTCGGACGCCCGGGGCTCGGAGAGCGGCACCTCTCGCAAGCCATGAGTGAGGCTCCGCCGCAGAGTGTGGAGGAGGACACGACGGGAGGACACTTTTTCGGCAACTTTCCTCGCTACTATGATGCGCAGTTCAATCCGCCGTCTAAGCGGCTGCCGTTTGTGCCGAGAGCCGTCGGCGTGCTGGTGGCCGAGGCCGCCGGCGACGGCGAGCGCCCGCTGTACATGCTCGATCTTGGGTGCAACGCCGGTGATTTGACGGTGGCGGTGGCTGAAAGGGTGGCGGAGAGCTCGGGACGAGCGGTGCACGCGGTTGGCATTGACGTCGATGCCAGCCTGGTGGCGCGGGCCGAGACACTGGTGGCCGGGCGCAACGGCGACGCGGCGGCCGGGCTCAGCTTTGCCTTTCTGGCTGGTGACATCTTGGCCGACGGCGTTGAGGACACGCTGCTCGCCGCAAGAGGTGGCGAGGTGCCGACTGACGGCGCCTCGCCGCCGTTCGATGTGGTTTTCTGCTTTGGGTTGGTCATGTGGATCCACGTTAATGCCGGTGACGACGGACTGCGAGCGTTCCTGGCCAAGCTGGGCAGCCTGGGCGCAACTCTGGTCCTCGAGACTCACACTTGGGACAACTACCGCAAGTGTCGCAGCAGGCTCCGTCGCAAGGGTCTTCCGCCACCAGCCGCCTATGCCGCGATGACCATCCGCAACAACATCGAGGAGTACGTCGCGGAGTACCTCACTGACACCGTCGGTCTTACTCAAACCGCGGTGCTGGGCGTCACACCGTGGGGCCGTACCATCGCGCTTTACGCCCATTGCCCCGATCTTGTCTTGGCTGAGACCGAGCCTGAGACCGAGCCTGGGCCTCATCCTGAGCCCGAGCTGGAGCCGGCGCCGAGGACGTGAGTCATCATCGCCTCTAGCATCCTCTGTCATATGCCTTGACTCGATCTGAATCCCTATCTCAGCCTTAATCCCAACTCTTTCGACTGTGCTCCCGGGTTAGATGGTCAGTTAGCCGCGCTTTGGAGCGGGTGGAGGTGGGTAGACGTGCTGCGGTCAGTGGCCGGCGGTCGGCGGCGGTCGGCAGTCGGCGAATCCCAACGCCAACAGCAAGTTGCTGTCAGCAACGCCAGCGACGACGGCCACGCTCGTCTCTCGACAACAACCAGTCATGGCTGCTGACCAGGGCGGAGAAGCGCTCAACTACATCCGGGGCTTCGACCGGTTCATCCTCCCTGACGACACGCCCAATGTTGAAGGTACGTGTGCAGGTCCCGTGTGCTTGCAAGCTGGTGGTAGTGGTGGTGGGTGGTGGGTGGTGGTGGTGGGAGCGCACCTCTGCGCTGGCTGGCTCGAGGCGTCAAAAAAACGGCAGTCGGTCGTCAGGCGTGCGGGGGCAAGCGCCAGGCAATTGTGGATGGGGTGAGGAGGCCAGCACGGAGGGTTACAGACTATGTGGCAAAGGGTGCCCTGCCCGGAGGCCAGGTGTGTCGGGGCTGGCAGGGAGCTGGCAGCTGTGGAGGAAGTGCCGGCACCGCCGGGTGGACACGGGGGTGTTCGTCAAATTTCGGTTGGCCTTCATTTGGGCGAGGCGACCGCGCAACGCGAGGCGGCGCGGGTGCACGTGGGTGACTCACGGAAGACGAGACGGGGGCGGGGGCGGGAATGTGACATGACGCGCAGGACCAAACTTCCCGATCTCGTACGGGTCTGCGTCGTCGTACAACTTTGCGGACCGCGAGGGGTACCAGACGGACTTTGTGGACGAGGCAGGGACGATGGCGAGGATCGACTCGATGCTCGAGCGCGGCACCGGGTTCATTGCGCTGCTGTACACGTACCGCTCGTGCTCCAAGTCTGTGCCGCAAGTCAAGTCGCAGGACCAGGAGAACAAGGTGGAGCTGTACCAGAACACATTCCGGGTTCTGGAGCCTCAGATCAACAAGCTCAAGAACCTGTTCTCCTTTGTCAACGAGTGCATCGACTTTCTTCTGGAGGAGTTTGAGAAGCTCGCGGCCGACTCTGTGGGCGGCAAGAAGAGCTCTGGGCGGACGACATCGTCGTCGGACACACTGATCTGGAAGCTGGTGCTGCTGCTGGACCTGCTGTCGAAGCTCGACGCGCTCAAGAACATGAAGGGGTGCAACAACGACCTCTCGTTCTACAAGCGGGCGTACGGCTTTCTCCGCAAGAACCTCGAGGCGTCGGGCCTGACGGACCAGACACTGGACAACCAGGAGATGTACCTGTTCCTGGCGAACCAGAACATCATCACCAACACGCTCAAGCAGAAGCTCCCGCAGGTCTCGCGGTACACAACGGTGCTTGTGCTCATTCTCGAGCACTGCCTCCAGCGGTGGACCGGCAACCTGTTCCTCTACCCCGAGGAGAAGCACGCGTTGCTGCGGGTCATTCCGTTTTCGATCTTCCTGTACGACTCTCAGGATCCTGCGGCACCAAACAACGCGTTCAAGACCAAGGAGTTTAAGGTCCTCGACTATGCGCGGCTGCTCAAGCGCTACCCTGTGCTCCCGCTGTACGGTGACATGGCCATGCTCTCGTCGTCGTTCATCGAACGGTGCTCCAACTTTGACCCCAAGGTTTGGGAGAAGCCGTACGAGAACGAGCGGCTCAACATCGAGTACTGCATCATCAACCGGCTCCCGGTCTTCCGGTCGCTGCACGACGAGTACCTGGCCGACTTTTCGGCGCGGATCACCGAGGTGCGACGCATCCTGCGGGCGGGCAAGATGGTGTCGCAGAAGATTGCGCGGCTACTGTACGGGCTCATCCTCAAGGGCTTCCGCATTCTGTCAAACATGACGTCTGCGGTGCTCGAGCAGGCGGCGTGGAAGTTCTCGAACCCGTACGGCGACACGCCGGCGGACCGCAACCCGGACGACGTCATCCAGTACGAGCGCGTCGTGCGGTACAACTACGACTCGCGTGAGCGGTACTGCCTCGTTGAGGTTATTGCCAAGATTAAGGGTCTCTCGCAGGTCATGCTTCGGGCTGACTCGCTGCTGATGGAGATGATGCGCCGGCGGGTCCACGACGAGATGCAGCAGTTTGTGCAGTCGTCGCTCCGCGACCTCGTCTTCCACGCCACCAAGAAGAAGAAGCTCATCCGGGCGTCGCTGATGCAGATGCGCGCCATGGCCGCCGACTGGCTCAACGGGCAGGAGCCCAAGGATCCGATGGTCGACGGCAAGAAGGTGACCAAGAAGAACCCGTTCAAGCTGCAGATCCCGTCGCGCTGCGCCGGCCCGTCGCCGACCCAGCTCCAGCTCCTGCGGTGTATCATCTCGTCGCTGTACTCGGGCGACCGCAAGGGCAAGTCCAAGGACCTCAAGCCCGACCACGTTGCCCTCCTCAAGTCGTTCTACGAGCGCTCGTTCTTCTACTCGTACGTACTCGACTTTCAGGGCACGCTCCGCGGTGTCACCGACCTTGCCATGCTCTGGTACCGCGAGTTCTACCTCGAGCTCGCCGACGCCGACCAGTTCCCGATCGAGATGTCGCTTCCGTGGATCCTCGCCGACCACATCCTGCAGACGTACGCGCAGAACCCGGCCATGGTCGAGTTTGTCCTCTACCCGCTCGACCTCTACAACGACGCCGCCGAGGTCGCCCTCCGCACCCTCCGCCAGCAGTTTATGTACAACGAGGTCGAGGCCGAAGTCAACCTTGTCTTTGACCAGCTCGTGTACAAGCTCTCCGAGACGTACTTTAACCACGTCAAGGTCCAGGCCGCCTCGCGCCTCCTCGACCAGGAGTACCGCGCCCGCCTCGCCTCGACGCTCCCGCCGGGTCGCCTCGACATCCCGCGCTCTCGCTTCGAGGTCCTCCTCCGCCAGCGCCACTGCCAGCTGCTCGGCCGCTCCATCGACCTCTCGGCCCTCGTCTCGCAGCGCATGAACTACGCGCTCCGCGAGAACCTCGACTACGCCATCACCAAGTTTGAGGCTGAGCCGTTCTCGGGCATCATCGAGCTCCTCGAGTCGATCAAGAACGTCCGCGAGATGCACCGCATCATGTCCATCAACGTCACTCTCGATCCGTTCGAGGTTATGCTCAACGACACCGCCGACTCGTCGTCGCTCGTCTCTTTCCACGGCCGCATCATCCTTCACGCTGTCTTTGAGCTCATCAACGACGTCGTGCCGAACATGATGTACTCGTCGACGACCGAGCGCTTTGTCCGGGCGCCAGTCCAGTTTGGTGAGGACGTCGAGCGTGTGCCCATGCCCAAGATCCCGCCCACCCACCAGTTCGGTACCCGGACGCTCAACAACGCATATGCCACCGTGTTTATGCGGACCAAGTCGTTTGTCGGCATCCCACACTTCCGCGCTCTCTTTGACATTGTCGGCATCGATCGTATGGGCCTCGTCATCGCAGAGCTCGTCGGCCACATCCGCCGCCAGCTCGAGAACAAGGCCGCGCCGTACATCACCACTCTCCTCGACGGCATGCCCGAGCAGACCACTCTCCCGCGCCACTCGTACGGAACCGCCGGTGTCATCGGCTTCTTCGAGGCCAAGCTCGACCCCATTGTCAACTACGACGGCATCCAGGAGGTCTTCCAGGCCTTCCGCGAGATCGGCAACTCGCTGGCCATCTTTACCATCCTCGACTCGCTCGCCCACGAGCGCGCCACCCTTGGCTTTACACGGCTCGCGCCGTTTGTCGACGCCTCGCCGCTCACCAACTTTGGCTTTAACGACGAGCACCTCGCCTCCACCATTGCCGGCATCCGCTCCACCATCGAGGCCACCATCAACACCTCGCTCTTCTCCGAGCTGCCGCAGGACGCCATTGCAGCCGTCCGCCTCTACCAGTTTGAGCTCAACAATGCCTCGCTCACCCGCTACGTCCTCCTCGACATGGCCAAGGGCATCGACCCGCACCGCAACGAGTGGATGGGCCCGCCGTCCGAGAACGGCCTCGTCTCGGTCGACACCTCGTACGAGCTCTACCGCCTCTGGTCCGCCCTCCAGTTCACGTTCTGCCTTCCGCCGCGCGGCGACGCCAAGTTTGCGCCCATGGACATCTTCGGCGACGGCTTTTGCTTCGGCGGCCTCGCCCTCGTCTACCTCATGGAGCAGGCCGACCTGTTCAACGCCCTCGACTTTGCCTACCACGCCCTCAACGTTGACGAGGCTTCGGAGGCCAAGGCCTCGGACGAGCCCTCACGCTACCTTCTTTCGCGTGCCGCCTACGTCCGCTCCGTCAACGACGGTGTCCTCGGCATGCTCCGCGCCACCGCGCCGCTCAACACCAAGGTTGCCCGCGACATCTCGCCGCCGGCAGACGACTCGGCTTCCTTCCGCTGATCCACCTGCCCAAGCTGCGCACGCCCTCCACATAGCCCTTTGCACAAACCCCGCATCGCTCTTTGTTGTCCCCCCTTACCTTACCCTTCTCGTCAGAAGCAGCATCCGCCCGCGTCTTCGGCCTCGGCAGCAGCCTCGCCATCGTCACCAACCACACGCAGGCCCGCCAGGGGCGCGTATCCACGCCTTTTCTCGGCGGCGGGGGATGGAGATCCCCGAGGCCCTGGCCCCGTGCCGCTGCGCTGTACATCGGTCGCGCGCGTCCTCGTCGGCGAGAACTGCAGCCGCGACCGCGACGTATGCGTCCGCCACGCCGGCCCCGGTCTTGGCCGACGTCTCAGCAAAGAGCATACCGTGCGCGGCAGCGAGCGCCTCGCCATCGTCACGGCTCACCTCGCGCAAGCCGACGCCCGATGCGTCAGCAAGATCGATCTTGTTGCCCATGAGCGCAAACACCGCGCCGTCGTGTCCGAGATGGGCGGCAGCTTCGCTGAGCCACGAGGCGACTGCCGTGAACGACGACTTTGCACACACGTTGTACATGACAATCACTGCTGGTGCACCGCGATAGTATGCTGGTGCCACAGATCGATACCGCTCCTGGCCGGCCGTATCCCACAGTTGGACTCGGACAGCGACGGGCGCATTCTCGGGCGGGATCGGGACCTCCAGCACCACGTTGTGGAACTCTGCCCCGATGGTGGCAATGTGGTTCTCCGAGAACATTCCTGTTGCTAGCCTTCGCACCACGCTCGACTTTCCCACGCTTGGATCTGTGTAGCCGGGGCCATGTCGCCATCAGAGACGAGGTGATGGATGAGTGTGTGTGTGGGGGGGGGGGGGCTCGGAGGGAGGGCGAAGAGGGTGAAGGGGGCAGCCTACCTCCAATGACCACCACCCGGACAGTGTATGCAATGTCCGGGTCCATCCCCGACGAATACGCTGCCATAAGCCGTGTGGTGTGGTGTGAGAGGGGATGTAGGCTGTGGGTGAGGGTGGGTGTGAGGGGTGAAGGAGGAGGTGGGGGTGGAGTTGGGTTTGACTTGGCGGGCTTTTCGCTTCTCACCGTCTGCCATCGGTGTCCGTGGTAGTGCCCCCCCCCCCCCTCTCTCTCTCTCTCTCACTCTCACTCTCTCTCTCAACTGCGCCCACTTTCGCTATCGCGCGCGCTCACGCCTCTCGACGAGCCGCATCCTCCTTGCCTTGAACCGCGTCCTCCTTGCCTCGAGCCGCGTCGTCCTTGCCTCGAGCCGCGTCTTCCTTGCCTTGAACCGCGTCTTCCTTGCCTCGAGCCGCGTCGTCCTTGCCTCGAGCCGCGTCTTCCTTGCCTCGAGCCGCGTCTTCCTTGCCTTGAACCGCGTCTTCCTTGCCTCGAGCCGCGTCGTCCTTGCCTCGAGCCGCGTCTTCCTTGCCTTGAACCGCGTCTTCCTTGCCTCGAGCCGCGTCGTCCTTGCCTCGAGCCGCGTCTTCCTTGCCTCGAGCCGCGTCTTTCTTGCCTCGAGCAGCGTCTTGCATACGGTGAGAGCGTCGTGGCCAGAGCGACAGCGTCTCACAGGGCGACAGCGTCTCACAGGGCGACAGCATCTGGGAACAGAACACCGCCCATGGTGGTCACTCGCTCGGGCCGGGACTCGGTCAGTATGCGTATGCTCCGGGCTACTTCTAGACGAAGGCCTTCCGGGGCGACAGCGGTGGCCAGCATGGGGCGGAGGAGGCAGAGCGCGCGTCTGGCTCGGCCGAGCAGCAGTGGCTCGCGCAAGCGCAGGCGCCGGGCTGCAGCGGCGGCTGTGTCGTCGCCCGCTACCAAGAAGGCCCGGCCGCTGGTGACACTACTGCCGGCAGGCGACGATGGCCAGGTCGAGAGCGGGTCCGATCCCGTTGATTCATGCCCGCACATGCAGCGACTGGACTTGTGCTCGGCGGTTCTGGATGATGTGGTCCAGGGCGGACCAGTGGTGCCAGCCTGTGCTCTACAGGCTTGTGGCGCGGTTGCAGGTGGAGGCGGCTTTGCGCTCTGCCTCACCTGCGGCTCGGTGGCGTGTGCGGGGAGCAAGGATGGGCCGGCGCGCGGCGCGCTCTCGCCTCAGCACTGGCACGCACGGACCCATTTTGGCGATACTGCGCATGCGCTGGCGCTTCTGTTGCCATCGCGGATTGTGGTTTGCTTCTCGTGTGACTTGAGCCTCGGCCGCGGCGTCGACACTGACAAGGGCGACGTGGCCCGCCTCTTCGGCTCCCTCTCGCTTGCGCAGCCGGCCACGCCGGGTCGCACCTTTTCGTCGGTTCCGCTCACCCCACGGCTCTCAGTCCCATCGTTTGCTGAAGTTGCCAGCCACCGCGCATCAGTTCGCGCCCGCGAAGTGCTCGCCGAGGCCTTTGCCGCCTGGCGCGGCGTGGTCCGTGACGCCCGACACCCGCCGGTCAAATCCAAGCCGCCGGCTTCCTCGCCGGCCCGCGACACGTCGCGACTGCTTGCACCGCGACTCAAGGTTGACATTCCATCGGCAAGTTCCGTAGGTGCAGGTGCCTCGCTCACCAGGTCGTCGCTGGTCATGCCGCCAACGCCGCGCCGCACAGGCTCGTCGCTCACGGAGGCACTGGCCTCGCCTGCGGCAGGCAGCGCTGGCCTCGGGCAGCGGATCCCGGGTCGAGTCGGCCTCGACAACCTTGGCAACACCTGCTACATGAACGCGGCTATCCAGGCGCTCTCACATATCGATGCCTTTCGCGACTTTTCTTGCAGCTCGGTGGCGCGACGCCGCTGGGCACCAACCCGCCGTTCACCCCGCCACGTGTCCGGCGTCCGCTCATGCGGCAGTCGACGCTCGACTGCCACCAACTGGTCGAGTCTGGCCAGGAAGATGAAGACTTGGAGCTCGCTGGTGCCATCCGCAACCTCATGCGAGTCCTGTGGTCGATTCGCTGGGAGTACGTCGTGCCCAACGAGCTGCAGGCCGCCGTGTGGAAGTTCCTCCCACGCTTTCGCGGCACGGACCAGCACGATGCCCACGAGTTCTTCACCTTTTTCCTTGATACCCTTCACGAGGAACTGTCGTCGCGGAGCTTGGCGCTCGCGACCATGAAGCGCATGTTCTGCGCAAGCATGAGAACCTCGCTGGCTTGCCTCGGCTGCGGTGCCGTCAAGCACAACGACGCCGACGCCTGGGACCTCAGCATCGACATCCCGCCCAAGTTTCACCAGTTCACACGAAGAAGCCGCGGCCGTGTCGTCACTGTCTCCTCCTCCTCTCGACGCAAGGATGTTCCGCTCGACACTTGCCTTTACGCCCTTTCCCACCCCGAACTCCTTGACGCCGCCATCGACTGCGACGCCTGCGGCGGCAAGCATCAGGCAGAGGTGACCCCCTCACTGACGAAAACGCCACATGTTCTCCGCCTCCATGTCAAGCGCTTTGTATGGGATAAGAACGGCCCGGCCAAGATCGCCACTGCCATTTCCTTTCCGCTCACCAACCTCGACGTCGCGCCACTGCTCAACAGCTCGGCCTCGCCGGCTTCGGAGCTCTATGACCTGGCTGCAGTCATTGTCCACATCGGATTTAGCCTCTCCCGCGGCCACTACATCACAATGGCCAAGACGCGCTCGCACTCGGGAGCCACCGTCTGGATCAAGTTTGACGACAAGAAGACAACCGTCGTCACAGAAGCCGAGGTCCTCGCCGCCGAAGCCTACATCCTTGTCTACGTCCGTCGTGAGTTGTAGCCATCACTTCCAATGTATCAGCTGTGGTGAGTGTCACTGCACATCTACCTCGATTGCCGCCCACCCGCTTGCCGCGGCCAGTGGCGCAGTCGCAGCAGCTGACCCAAGTCAACCCGTCTCTCCGGTTTGAAGCATGGCAAGCCCCATTGAGACACTGAAGAGCTCCCGCGGCCGGCGTGGATCATCATCATCGTTTGCGCTCTTGCCCAAGGGTACTCGGTCGCGCATGTCGCTGTCGCAGTCGTCGTCGTATGTTCAGAGTCAGAGGGGAAAGGGGTTGTGTGTGTGGGTGTGGGGGGGGGGGAGGGAGGGAGGAGGAGGAGGGAGGAACGTGCGGAACAGGCGGGGAGGCGGAGAGGAAGGGGGGGGGGGGGGGGGGGGGGTGGGGGGGGGGGCGAGATGGTGGGCGAGCGAGCAGGGCGCAGTTAGAGGGGAAGGGGAGGGGGGCCAAGAGCTGGAGGAAGAGGTAGAGGCAGGGTGGAGGACTCATTTCGTGGAGCGGGGACAGGGACGCGTTTCTGCACCTCAAGTCTGAGACAGCCGACGTGCTGCCACCAGGCGACCCGAGCTACCGGTCCGAGCTGGAGGTGCAGTATGGGCTGCATGAGATCAAGGGCAGGCGGGAGAGCATGGAGGATGCGCACATGGCGCTGCACGTGCCGCCCGGAGTGGGGGTGGATGCCTTCTTTGGCGTCTTTGACGGGCACGGCGGGCAGCGGGCAGCTGACTGGGTCTCGGTCCACCTGTACAAGTTCTTTCTGGCGTCGGACGGGTTCAAGGCCGGCGACTTGGAGCGCGGCCTCCGCGAGGCGTTTGAAGAGTCGGAGCGCGAGTTTATGAAGCTGGCCATGAGCGTTGACGATCCGCTGAAGGAGATGCACGACGGAACGACTGCGGTAGTTGTCGCCATTGCCGGCAACAAGCTGTTCGTGGCTAACTGCGGCGACTCGGAGGCGGTGCTCTGCCGGCGCAGACACGCGCTCAAGCTGACTGAGACCCACAATCCCAAGGACAATCCCGAGGAGAGCCAGCGGGTGATCGACGCTGGCGGGCGGATTTACAACCGGCGGGTCGGCCATCCGGCGTTCAACCCAGCGGTCATGTCGATTGCTGTCTCCCGGTCGATTGGCGACGCCGGCTTCAAGCACGAGCGCTATACCAAGGGCAAGCCGTCGGGCCTCATTGCCGACGCATACGTGACCTCGACCACGCTGACCGAGGACGACGCGTTTGTGCTCCTCGCTTGCGACGGCCTATGGGACGTCATGACGCCCGAGGAGGCCGTGCAGATGATCCGCGAGCAGATGGCCAAGAAGAAGGATCCGCAGACCATTGCCGAGCTGGTGGCCGAGTGGGCGTACGCCAACGGCTCGACAGACAACATCACCGTTCTCCTCGTCTCGCTCATTCACCACGAGCCCGGATGGACCGCGTCCGACTCGGGCGCCGCCGCGTCGTCAGCCACGAGCTCTGGCGACCGCCTGGCACTTCCGGAGCTTGACAGCGACGACGAAGATGACGACGCGGTGCTCATCCAGAAGCTCCGCTCGCGCATCATCATCCTTCAGCAGGCACTCTCCGAGTCGGAGGAGGAAAAGGACCGGCTGCGGGCCGAGCTCTTGCGGTGCAAGGCCAAGGTGAAGGCCACAACCCAGGCCAGGTCCGGCTCAAGCTCGGGCTCGGGCTCGGGCTCATGTCCGAGAAGCCGGTAGTAAGACGGGAGCGACGGCTTGCAAGCGTGTGCAACTTGTGATTGCAATGCGGTTTACGACGATGATGATGCACCGGCATCAGGAGCTGTCGGGGTAAAGACGTAGACGTCAGCACAGGCCTTGTTCGTGTAGCCGCCAAAGATGTACAACGAGTTGCCAAAGGCGACCGAGCCGTGGCCGGTGCGAGAGGCCGGCACGTCGCCAGATGCGGTCATCTGCCAGCGGGTATGGGTCTCGGTGTTGAAGACCACCAGGTTGCTGTTGGTGCAGAAAGAGGCGCCGAGGTTCTCGCCGCCAAAGACGTAGAGGAGACAGTCGGAGAGGCATGAGATGGTATGGTTGCGAACGCCGCGGGTGTGCGGGCCGTAGAAGAACGGTTGCTTCCATGTCTCGTTGCGCAAGTAGCGCATGTCGTGGAGGTGTTGGCCACGCGCCGAGAAGCCGCCAAATACGTACAGTGCATCGCCGACAACCTCGACCGCGGCCTCTGTGCGGGCCGGCGGGATGGGATTGGCATTGAGGGCCCGGGCCGTGACAATGTCAGCCAGCGAGGCGCCAGCATCAATAAGCCGCTCCTCCTCCTCCGCAAACGGATCAAAGCCGGCGTGGGTGTGCTCCGACCAGGCAAAGGTGTCAACATCGAGCACGTACGCATCGTTGACCGCCATGCCCTCGCTGTTGGTCCCAAAGATGACCATGAACACTCCGTTGAAGAACGCCGCCGACGCGCCCGACCGCGCCGTTGGACTGTCGCCAGAAGTCTCGGGCGCAATCCACGACATCGTCTCGGTGTCGAGAATGTACAGGTCGTCGAACCGCGCCACCTTTCGGCTGTCGATGCCGCCAAAGTAGAAGATCTGCGAGCCGACCACGGCAGACGCCACCTGCTGCCGCGGTGACGGCGGAGTGCCCGAAACGCGCGGCATCGTCCACTCTCCGGTCTCGAGGTTGAGCACGTACACATCGTTAAAGTGGAGACGCCGCCCACCGCCCTTGGTGCCACCAAACACGTACATGTTCGAGCCAATAACATTCACCGCAGCGTTGTACCGGCCCGACGGCACCGAGCCTGTCACCTTGAGCAGCGACCACTCGCCCGACATCGGATGCATGACCTGCATCGCCTTGCCCACAATGTCCTGGAACCGCGACATGTTCGCCGTCAGCGCGGTGACCGCCTCGGAGCCCATCGAGACTTTGCGCGACGACGATGCAGAACTTCCAGCGCTCGATCGGCCAGGCTTAGCACCGGGCTTGGCGCCTGGCTTGGCTCCAGGCTTGGCGCCCGGCTTGGCTCCAGGCTTGGCTCCCGGCTTGGCTCCAGGCTTGGCGCCGGGCTTGGCTCCAGGCTTGGCGCCTGGCTTGGCGCCTGGCTTGGCGCCTGGCTTGGCTCCAGGCTTGGCGCCGGGCTTAGCACCGGGCTTGGCGCCGGGATTGGCCTAGTATCACAAGAACCAGCTGTGGTGAGTGGAGGGGTTGGGGTGAAGGGGGGGGTTGGACAGCAAGGGAGGGGCACGTGGCGGGTTGTGCGGCATTTTTTGGCGTACACCAGGACGTGTTCCGGACCTGCAGCGGGGAAGGGCGGTGGGAGGGGGATGACGGGAGAAGGGAGGGCGTGAGTGTGGTGGAGGGCGTAGGAATGCAAGGGGGTGGGAGGAAGGGGAGCGGGGGCAGAGGACGGGAGGCATGTGGCGGGGGAGGGGGTCTCCAGGTGATCGACGGTGACTGGGGGCCTGCAGCGTACATGTGCACGACGGAGGAGTGGCAAGCGAGAGGTAGGGGTGCGGTGACTGGAGTAGCAAAGCGGAGTAGGGTGCTGGAGAATTCCGTGGGTGAGAGTGTGTGGACTGTACAGACGTCCGAGTTGTGTGGGAAGCCGTGGTCTTGTCCCACCGCTGCGGGGGAGTGGTGGGCGACCGGGTGGGAAGATGGGAACGACCGGTGAACTCGTTCGGTTGAGTCGTGCGTGCAGACACGGCGGCTCGGCTTAGGCTGTAGTGGAGAGCCAGTTTACCATCCACGCCAGCCGATCGACTCGGGTATGTGTTCGTAAGGGGGGGCGGAGGGGGCTAAAAGACAAAGGTCTCGACATGGACGGCAAAGCCGCGACGGGTTGCAGCGCTTGCGACAACGTTGCACAGGCTTGGAGGGCCGCAGACAGCGACAAAGACTGACAACGGGGAGTGATCGGCATCATTGGCGGTGTGGACGTTGGCCAGCATGGCGTCAAGATCTGGACGGCCAAGAGACCACTCGTAGCTGGCAATGGCAGCCGATGATGACGATGACGACGACGACGACGAGTTGGAGCTGGGAGGCGACGATGACGGCAGCTCTTTCTTGCCCGAGGTTTGGTACAGCGAAATGCAAAGACGCTCACCGAGTTGAGAGGTGGCGTGTGCGAGCACGTTGCCGAGCCATGGCGTACATACATCAGCCATCAATCGCGAAGTCCACACAAACAAAACGCTGCGCAGATTGGGGAACTCGCCGTCAGCGACATGTTGCAGCAGGTTCGCCATGGGGGTAACCCCCACGCCGCCGGAGACCAAGACAATATGGCCAGCCTTGGCGACGGCATTGGCCGGGACGGTCAACGCGCCGTACGCGCCATCAATCCACACAGTGGGGCGGCTTTGGGCCTCGGCCATCTCGCGGAGGCGGGCGGTCCATGACAGTCTTGCGCTTCCGGCCGACAGCGAACGGTGGTGATGATGGTGGACGGCCTTGACGATGAAGCGGGTGTGACCACAGTGGCGATCATAGTCGGCGACCGAGAACGGGTGCCACTCGGTCGAGGCAATGGCGCCAATTCGGAGAAAGGCGTAGCTTCCGGGGTGTGGCGGCGGCCATTGCCGTGGCCAGACCAGCGAGAGCTCGGTAGCCTCACCTGGGAGAGGGACAAGCGTCGCGCGCCGCCGCCGCCGCCAGGCTCGCACCATCCGCGCAAAGGCCAGAGCAAGCCAAACGCCCCCAGAAACCGCAAGATAAATGACGATGCCCGGGACATGAACAAGAGCAGCGATGACAGCCGGGAACTGGAGCATGTGAAGCGCGTAGAAGGAGTTGAAGTGATGCCGGCGGATCCAAGGCAACGAGCCAAGGCCCACGGCGAGGAACAGCACCAGCGCCACCGTGCCGGAGAGCGACACACCGCCGAGGCCAAAGTGCGAGAACTTGGACTTGAGCGCCATCCAGACGCCGTGGAGCGAAGCAACAGCTAGGAATACAGCAGCCATGCCGCGATGAAACTTGAGCCGCCGCTCAAACGGCATAATACCGCCGGCAACCCAGAGATCAAGTCCTGGGTACCGGATGACCGGCAGGTACAACAGCGAGAGACAGAACTTGGAGAGCTTGCCCAGAACAAACGGTGCCACATAGCCACTCTTATCGCTTGACACCACCTTGTGGTCATTGCCGATACCAAGTACTGCTGAGGTGAGAGCTACGGCAAGGAGAAAACGCCTGCAAAGCATAACTCGGCGGAACGGAGATGCGACGAACAACACAAGGATGACGACGGGAGCAAGCGAGATGGCCCAAGGCCAAGCAGACCGGCAAGAGCGAGGGCAGACCAGATGAGAACGACACCAAGCCCAGCAACAACCACATCTGCCTTTACGCCTGCGGCCATGGTTGCCGAGACGAGTGATCAAGAGGCAAAGTTATCGACAACGCAACGAAAGTGTGGAGCAGGTGGAGCGCGAGAGATGGCAAAGACGTGGGGCGTGTGGAGCCCACGTGGGACGATCAGAGTGCAGTCGACTCTACTCGTCCGATTCATACTCATACTCGTACGCTGCCCCATTTCCGACGGCAGACCCCGCTGCGCCATCACCCGAGGATGCTGCCGCCGCCGGCTCGATGCTGCCCTGCGCAACCAGGTGCGGGACCTCGGCAGCAAGCCAGGGTGCGAGGCCGAGAGCTAACGCGTGTGCGATACCAAAGTGAGGCACGTTGCGAGCCCAGAGAGGATGAAAGTGCTCGGTGAGGCAGATGGCACCGCCGCGATACATCTTGGGCGTCTTGTTCTCCAGCTCGGGGAGAAGGATGGCGACCGAGGTCTTGGGAAAGGTGACCGGGACGGTGACCACCAGCTCGAACTCGTAGCGGATGAGGTTGTGGACGTACCAGCACGTTCCAAACCACCGCGTCCCGCTCTTGTTTGCCTCGATCTTGAACCAATCGGTGGCGTTGGCCTTGTTGTTGCCGGCGTACTAGCCCGGCGAGTACGATGTGAGTGCGAGGTTGAGCCAGGGGGTGAGCGAGGAAGACAAGAGGAGGCGGGCAAGAGATCGTAGCGTACTGCGATGAGGGCGGCATACTCCTCCTTCAGGCGTGCAATCCACTCTTCGCCGTCACGTGGCCCGGCCATCACGCCCAACGACGGGATCTGCGCCTTGACGGCACGCGCCTCGTCGAGGTTGTTGAGGTCGTCGTCGCCCACGCGGGCGGCGCCGGTGTCAGTAACGTCAACGGCAGCCATGCTAGGAGCAGGTAGGGGAGGGTGTGTGGAAAGGTAAAGGCGATTACAGAGAGAGACGAGAGGAGGGGACGCGTTACGAAGGGTGCTGGAAGACGGGTGCCGGGTCGGCCTCCCGTCGAGGCCTGGGGTGCGGGCTGCTGGCCGAGCCGGCACCAGGAGTGGCGGATTGGGCGGTGGAGAGCGCACGACGGTGCTGACGGAGCATGCCATCAAGAATGACCGACTCGCCAGGAGTGACGGCGACAGTGACACGAGTGGCCGACGCGGCTTGCGAGGCGCGACCGACGCGGCCAGCGATGTGGGCAAAGTTGGCCAGCGGCCGCGGGAGCCGTCGAGATGCGATGACCACGTGCTCGAGATGTGACAGATCGAGGCCGCGCAGAGACGGTGCATCACTCACAATAAGCGCAGGAGGTACATCCGACGGATGCAAGAGCGAGCCGAGGTCCAAAAGTTGTGTTGGATAGAGGCCAGCGCGGGTGAGGGCGGCCATGGCGGACTCGATGCGCGAGTCCGAGTCGACAACGACCAGTGTACTGGCGCCTGGGCAAGCTGACAGCAGCGACACGACGGCATCCAGCTTGGCATCGCGGTCTGCGACAGGTAAGCTGGTGATGGCAATCGACGGAGGAAGCGGCGAGGCACCCGGTTGCGAGCCAAGCCGGAGAAACGGACGCCGCAGACCGAGCCGCGGATCGCGGAGCATGTGGCGCAGCGGGGCATTGATCGAGGCCGAAACCGCGACGAGGACGCCGTGCTCCGGATCAATGCTGCGGATGGAGGCGCGGAGGTCCGCAGGCGAGAGAAGGTCGTGGGATGTGTGTTTCGGCTGCGCCTGCGGCGGCTGCCGTGCAGCGTAGCGCGACGGCGGCTGGATGAGTGCGTCGACCTCGTCGAGAACAAGCGCGTCGAGCGGCGCGGAGGAGCCGACGAGCGCCTGCGGCAAATCTGCCACCGGCATGATGCGTAGTCTAGAGCCTGGGGCGGCGGTGCGGCCGCCGGCCGCCGGCGGGAGCTCGGCGATGATGCCGTCGACGACGCCGGTGACCTGATCAGCCAGCAGGGTCGTCGGGGTGACAACCACGGCGTCGGCGCCCGACGAAAGCAGCGGCGCCAGATACGCAATGGTCTTGCCGGATCCGATGGTATCAGCAGCGAGGACGGCGGCAGGGCCGTTGCGTCCGCCGCGTGCCGGCGATGGCTCGCCTCTGCCGGCCCTGACAGGGTCAAGCGTCCGCGACAGGTAAGGGATGAGCGCGGCCTGGAGCGGTGAAGGAGCGATGGCCGAGGCAGCCGGCAGCGAGCGAACGAGGAACGTCTCGATGGCGCTTGCCCATGCGGCCGAAAGGCCTAGGCCAAGCATGCAAGGGGATGGAGGAGTAAGAGGTGTGGGGTGACCGGTGAGGGGCAGAGGTGCGGGTCGGCACGGGAGCAATCGTTTGGCCGGGCTTTGGCCAGTGTCGGTGGGTGGGTGTGGGCCGGGGGGAGGGATCGAAGAGGGAGTGGGGAGAGGGGAGAAGGAGAGGGGGGGATGGAGAGGATGACCTGGTGGTAGGGAGAAGGAGAGAGAGAGGGAGGGAAGGGGGGAGGAGGAGGAGAAGAAGAAGGGGGAGCATGATCTGGTCTTGGCTATCCAGTGATGGGCGGGCTATGCTACGATCATGGGGGAGTTCAAGTCGCAGCGGCGTGGGCAGTGTGTGTGTGTCTACGTCACGACGACTCACCCTTGGCTGCAGAGCTCAAGCTCGTGACGCGGCTGGACGACAGCAAGGAGGGAGAGCAAGAGCGAGGTACACTTCTCTGGCTCTGGGCAGAGAACATCCTCACCGCACAGGGCAAAGGCAGAGGCGAGACGGCGAGGAGCTAAGCATGCTGCGTTGGGTGGCTCGTGCATGGACGGGCGGAGCAGCGGGACGGAGCGCGGTGGCGCAGGGGCTGGTGGCGGGAGGTGCCGGGACGACGGGAGTGGGGCAGTGGGTGCGGAGGAAGGGGACGGCAGCCGAGGTCAAGGCCGAGGCGAATGAGGTGGCGCGGCTGCAGGCTGAGCTGGAGGCCGAGGAGGTCGAGCACCAGCGGCTGACGGTCGAGCTGCAGAAGTCAATGTCGTCAGGCCGCAAGTCGATCTGCGTGTTTGGCGCTGGCCTCTCGGCCAAGGCTGCGATTCGGTACCTGGTGGACCATGCAGAAGAGTGTGGATGGCACATCCATGTGGGTGACCAGAACGTGGACACGGTGCACAAGCTTCTCGAAGGGCGGCCGAACACGTCTGCGTTTGCCTTTGACGTGGCGGACGCCGAGACGATCGAGACCGAGGTCGCTGCGGCGGACCTTGTGATCTCGATGGTGCCTGCGCATTTGCACGGACGGATTGTGCGGCCTGCGGTCGAGAATGGGGTCGACGTGGTCACGGCGTCGTACGTGTCGGACGAGATTCGGGAGCTTGACGCGCTGGCGCGGAAGCGCGGCTCGCTGGTGATGATGGAGTGCGGGGTGGATCCGGGCATCGACCACATGTCGGCCATGCACGTCCTGCAAAACATCCGTGCCGAGGGCGGGACGGTGACCTCGTTTGAGTCGTTCACGGGCGGGCTTGTGGCCGACGATTCGGACGACAACCCGTGGAAGTACAAGTTTACGTGGAACCCGCGCAACGTGGTCCTCGCAGGGCAGGGTGTCTCCAAGTTTGTGTACAACGGAACGCTCAAGTACATGCCATACTGGCAGCTCTTCCAGCGGATCGAGCATGTGGAGATTCCAGAGAACCCGCTGGCGGGCGCCTCGGTCTTTGAGGGCTACGCCAATCGCGACTCGCTCTCGTACCGACAGGCGTACGGGCTCGAGCACTGCCCGACGGTCTTCCGCGGCACGCTTCGCAAGCCGGGCTTTTGCGCAGCGTGGGACGTCTTTGTCCAGCTCGGCCTCACCGACGACTCGTACGTCATCCCCGACTCGGAGAACATGACTTACCGGCAGTTTATCAACTCATTCCTCATGTGGCGGCCCGAGGACACGGTCGAGCTCAAGCTCGCGTACCACCTGGGCATCTCGTTCGAGTCTGCGGTCTTTGAGCAGCTGCGCTGGCTCGGCATCTTTGAGCACAAGAAGATCGGACTGCCCAACGCCACGCCGGCCAAGGTCCTGGAGAAGCTGCTGACCTCCAAGCTTGTGTTTACCGAGAAAGATCGCGACATGCTCGTCATGTTCCACCGCATCCAGTACGAGACGCTCTCGGGCCAAAACAGGCAGGTCTCGGCCTCGCTCGTCTCGATCGGCGAGGGCGAGTCTGACCCGTCCATGACCGCCATGGCCAAGACCGTCGGCCTCCCGGTCGGCATCGTAACCAAGCTCATCCTCCAGGGCAAGGTCACCGCCCGCGGCGTCCAGATCCCGACCTTTGACGAGGTGACGACGCCGGTGCTCGACGAGCTCGCCACCCTGGGCATTGCCCTTAAGGAGATTGACGAGCCGCTGCATCTCGCGCCGCAGTCTTAAAGCTATCTCGACAGGCGGCTAGGCGGCTACAGCTGGCACAGGTGTTAAGGTCTGGAGGGTGCGAGCCACGAGATGCCCAAGCGCCCGGAATACAGAGCGGCTGGCTACTGTGACTTGGCGTGCGAGGCGGGTGCAACAGGCTCGCCCGGCGCTGACGAGGCGCCGAGAGCGATAGCCATGATCCGGTAGAACCAAAAGTACTGCAGCGAGCAATGGGAGATGATGAGGACGACTTGGACCCAGAAGAGGCGCGGTGTGACCCACGGGTCGATGGTGACGTAGACCAGGGCCTGGATGACATGCCAGCAGAAGATCGAGTTCCAGACAACGCGCGAGATGAAGAAGAGAAGGGCAAAGACCTTGCGGTTGGTCTTGTCGACGGGCGAGTGGCGGAGGCCGGTATAGCGGAAGAACCAGGTGAGCTGGAGGAAGGGTGTCGAGACCTCGTTGAGGAGAAAGTTGATCTGGATCCAGGTGCCCCACTGGTAGTACACGCCGAGAGTGTACGAGCCGCCAGCGACAATGTGGTGGAAGAACTCAAAGGCCGAGTGGTGGATGGGCGGGAGGGTGTAGAGGAAGAGGTCCGAGAGAAAATAGCCGATGGAGGTCTGGATGAAAAAGTCACGATGCAGCGGAGTGTTGTTGACGCCCAGGATGAGCTCGTAGTTGGTCATCGAGTTGAGGCTGTCTGGCAGCGAGGAGAAGGTGTGCCAGGCCGAGGCGGCGGCGCCGACGGTGGCGATCGAAGCGTGGATGACCGAGATGAGCTTCTCGTTCCAGCGGAACTTGTCCACCGGCGTGAGCTTGGCGTACGTTGCGCCAAACACCGCCGGCGAGACAAACCACTTGAGGATGTGAAAGGTGACGATGAAGAGGCAGGCCGAGGTGAGCGCCACCTGGAAGCGGTCAGCAAAGGCAGCCAGCGAGTCGACCACGTACAGCCCCACAGTGGCGTCGAGTGGGCCACACACCGCCTGCAGCGGCGGAAACAGCACAGAGTCCAGCAGGCTTTGCATTGTGTGCATGAAAGAGGGGGTGGGGTGAGGTGGTGGGAGTTGGGCTGCGGCGGTCGGCGGTGGATGCGCACCAGCGCGAGTCGGTGCCGTCGGCCCGTCGGCTCCCCGGCTCGGCGGCTCGACGGCTCATCGGTCGTGTGGGGAGTTGCGCGGGGGGGACGGCGAGGTGGCGCACTCTTCTCGTGAATTGGCTACAGTTGGAATCGTATGGGTCTACTTTCACTTGTGGCGGACGTGGTGGTCAGCTCCACGGCCATTGCTGCTGTCCGTCGGTCGTTTGGTTACTCGTATGTGGCTGGGGGGAGGGAGAAGGGAGTGGGGGGGGGGGGCAGCTCGGCGTGTGCCTGACGCGTTTGTGGGCGGCGACAGGCATGGAAAGTCAGCGGATGGGGACTGACAGGAATGTGTACGGGGCGGGCGGCGGGCGACAGACTGCCGACAGGCATGATCAAGCATCCAACGGCTAAGATGGTGGTGGACGGCTACCTCGGGCTCGGCGAGTTTACGCTCCAGAAAGGCATCGAGATGGCCGCCAAGCTCTCCGAGAACTCGCCGGCCCACCAGGCGACGACCATGAGCAACGCCATCAAGGACCCCAAGGGCAAGTCCAAGTCCAAGTGAACTGGGCTTGTTGCAGCAGCCGGCCAAGATGCGGGCTGCGGACGAGCATCTCACCTACGCTGCGACGCAGATGCTCCTCCCGGGTGCAGGTCAAGAGACACTTGCTGCGCATAGGTAAACCACTACATTGTCGTGGGTAGGCCCTGCTTGGCGCAGTGACTGCGGATACCGTCTAGCTATGTGCATCGGTTGCCAAGGCATGGCGCTTGTGAGGGAGATTGATCGAACGGCGGACGGATGCTGTTTCCAGATGGGCTTGCCGGCTGCTGTCCATCGCACACGATTCATCGTCCGTTGTACATAGTGCAGCTGCAGGCGAGTGGGAGTGCAAAGGCGAATGCAAACGTGCATGTATGTGTGCGTATGTGTGTGCTCAGGCCATCCATGCCAGTCGCACGTGTGTCCAGCTGTAATACTAGGACTCGGGTGCGAGCGTGTTCGCCGTCGCCATGGCGAGCGTGTTAGAGCGCACCACTTGTCGAGGGACGGGCAGAGCATAGGGTGTGTGCAGAGCCAGAGGCAGCAGCCAGCAGAATAGGTAGCAAAGAGAGCCAACCCACGACAGTACCACATTCAACATGAGTACGCACCGGGGGGAAGAGGGGGGGAGGAGGGGGGGGAGGGAGGGGGGCGGCGAGAGAGCGGGGGTTCGGCGAACGCCTGGGCGCCACATGCAAAGGTGAGGCAGGAGAACAGGGGGGTGGGGAGGAAGAGGGGGATGGAAGAGAGGGAGAGACTCACCTCTGGGCTGGCTTGCATGTGTGTTGGTTGGTGGTGGTATGGCGAATGGCATGGAATGGGATGGGATGTGTGGTGGTGGTAGGTGCTGTGCGGACGGCGACGGCGTTGTACGACTTTGAGGGTGGTGAGCCCGACGAGCTGCCGTTTTCAGCGGGGGCCATCATCACACTGCGGGACACCAGCAATGCCGAGTGGTGGGAAGGCGAGCTCGATGGATGGGTCGGGCTCTTTCCGGTTCAGTTTGTGCGCGAGAACCCGGCCGGCGGGAGTCGCGGCGGAAGGGGCGGCGTTGGACGAGCGGGCGGGCGTAACTTCACCCCGGCGGCGCCTGTGGGCGGGAGCGGCGGCAGCAGTGGCGGCGGCGCTATCGCCGACTGCGGATGGTGCGGAGCCAAGCCCAAGTCTGCCAAGGCCAAGTTCTGCCACTCGTGCGGCAAAAAGTACACCGACAAGCCGCCGGCCTCGACTGCAACCGGCGGCGGCGGCGGCGGCGGCGGGCGCAACCCGCGGTTCAACCGCATGTCTAAGGTCTTTACCACCGGGCCTGTGCTTGAACTTGACGAGCCTGTGTTCAAGGTTGCCGGCTCGTGGCGGCCAAACATGGCGGCACGGGCGGCGACTGGCGCGCCTGTGCCGTCCAAGAATGCAGCGCCGTCGCAGCCGCGCGGGGCGCCCCCAAGGGCAACGACCGTGGCTGCCCCGCCTACACCTGCGGCAGCGTCGCCTTCACAGTCATGGAATCGATCCAGCGGTGCCAGCGGACGGTCTTCGTCGTTGCATTCTGGTGGGCCGCCCGGCCGTGGGCCGCCGGGGCGGGGGCCGCCTGGCCGGGGCGGCTTCAACCCGCGGGATCGCCCGATGCCGAGTCCCGCAAGCATGGCCCCGCCGCCGCCACCACTTGCAAAGGCCCCGCCGCCGCCACCACTTGCAAAGGCCCCGCCGCCGCCGCCGGTGGCAAAGGGCGCCGCCGCCGCCGCCGGTGGCAAAGGCCCCGCCGCCGCCGCCGGTGGCAAAGGGCCCGCCTCGGATGCCGCCGCGCAATGGTCCGCCGCAGTCGTTTGAGGCACGTAGGGCTGGCGGCGGCTTGCCGCAGCCGGCATGGCAGCAGGCTGTGACGCCATCGAAGCGCGACACCATCAACGTCGATGCGCTCATCTCGAATTTGGCGTCGGCCGGCATCGACCTCTCCAACCTGTCCGACTCGGACGATGACGTGCCGCCACCAGTGGCGCCGCGCTCGACGTCGTCGGTCAGCGGAGGAGTCGGGACAGTCGGAGGCGTCACCATTGCCGGCAACGAACTGAACTCGGGGCTCACCGTGCCAGAGCGGATGAAGAAAAAGGCGGAGCGGGCGGGCATCGAGCTCTTCCTCTTTGGCCCCGACTACGGGTTCTTCCCGGAGAACAAGGACCCGACGGTGACCGACACCTCGGTCTACGGTCTGGCGCTGCTCAAGCCGGCCAAGAAGACCAAGTGGAAGGAGCTCTGGTTCGCCATCTACGACAACTTCCTCATCTGCTGCAAAAAGCGCAAGGACTGGTCACCGAAGCACGCCTGGCCGCTCGCCTCGATTGTCTTTACCCGCATCTCGCACCTCGACTTGGCTTTTGCCCTCGAGATCAATGCAGGCGGTTCGACATACCACTTTGCCTGCAACTCGCAGCAGACCCTAGACACTTGGGTTGAGTGGATGGTCCCGTATTGAACACATGGGGGAGCTCACCCGCTCTCTATCGCATCAATCGCCGCTGGGCAGCTGCGATCCCACGTGACCACTGAGGCAAGAGGTTCAGCGCATGACAAGGGCTGCGCCGCGCCGCGCTGGCATCTGTCTCTTGCTTGTACCGTTGAGAAGGAGGGCTACAAGTACACAGCGTTATGAAGCGTTGGGTGCGCAGTACTCTCGCCCTCGTTCTGGTGGCATGGGCCCTTGCGGTGCCTGCCCTGGCCGACGACGTCGAGTGCAGTCCGGAGGAGGAGGAGCGAGTCATCACAAACATGAGTGACCGCAAGCGGCTGGCAGTCCTGCTCATCCTGTCCACGCTCATTGCTACCACCATTTGCTTTGAGCTGGCCAAGGTAGGTGTGGGGGGAGAGAGGGGAGGGGGGAGAGAGAGGGGGAGATAGTCGCGGGGCGCGCAGACTCATAAGCACGTGGCCCGGGTTGGGTCTCTGGCCTGCGGTGGACAGGACAAGCTGGAGGAGCTTGTGGAAGGCCCGATGCAGCCGATTCTAGACTCGATGTGGGGAGAGCTGACGGTTTTAGGCTTCCTCGGCCTCATGACGTTCATCATCCAACGGACTGGGTGGCTGTCGCGGCTCTCGTGCTCACAGTTTGCCGACAACTCAACGCTGCCCGAGGCGGTAGAGACGACGCACATGCTCATCTTTGCAGTGATGGTCATGTTCATCTGCGAGGTTGTTCTTCTGGTACTCATTGGTAAGCGTATCATGCGCAAATGGCGGCAGCTGGAGCTTGGGACGGACGAGCTGAGCGAGATGGAGGAGGTGGCCCACGACTGGGTCTCGCACGTCCACTCGGACTCGAACTGGGACTGCGGGATGTACATGCTGTCGATGAAGTCGTCGGTCCGCGAGAAGCTCGAGTACATGCTGCTTCGAGCGCAGTTTGTGAAGCAGCACGACTCGTGCGGCGACGACTTTGACTTTGCGCAGTACTTGGCGATTGTTCTCGGTGAGGAGCTCGGCGAGATTGTCGAGGTCCAGCTCACCACGTGGCTCGCGCTCGAGGTCCTCTTTGTCTGCTTCTACTTTTACTTTGCGCTCGCCGATGAGGCGATTGTGGGCGGCGTCATCGGCGTCGCCTTCTTGCTCTTCGTCTTTCTCCTCTTCGTCAAGGCCAAGCTCAACAAAGTGCACTCGATGCTGACGCCCAAGCCTGCGCCGGGTGTCTCACTCGACTCGAGCGAGACAGATCCGTTGGTGGCGCTGCAGAATGCGGCCCAGCCGACGTTTGTGCTCCAGCCACTGAAGCAGCGGAGCTGGCTGGGGCGTCTCATTCTGGGCGAGCCACCCAATAAGCACGAGCGGCTGTTTTGGCTCGATCGGCACGGCCCACGGGCGCTGTACGTCATTATCCAGTTCTCACTGCTGTTCATCGCGCTCTACATCGCCGTCATGTCCATCTACATCTCACCGGTCATCCTCAACCTCGAGGTGGAAACCGCTGTCAAGGTCACGCTCCTTGCTGCGGGCTACGTCCCGATTCTGCTTGCACTCCTCTGGCTCATGCCTGTTATTATTGCGCGATACGTCGAAGTGTGCAACATCGAGATGCTCAAGCGCGAGCCAATCATCAAGGATGTGGTGCGGTCGCTGAAGACCGCCAAGGCTCTGCGTGCCATCCGCATGCTCCATGTCATCGCCTTTACACAAGTCCACCGTGAGCGACGTGAGCGGTCCGAGGGCGCCGGCACGCTGACCATCAATGGTGATAGTCCAACGACGCATGCTTCGCTCTCGCAGCGCTCGCTTGACGGGGAGTCGCGGGTCATTCTGGAGTCGATTGTTGCACACCACCACCTGTCAGACGACCGCGAGGCCGAGCTGCGTGAGATGTTCGAGCTCTTTGACGAGGACGGCTCAGGCTGCCTCGACATCGACGAGCTGGGAAGGTTGATGACCAAGCTTGGGACGCCCATTGATGCGCAGATTCTACGGGCCATGGTGGCTGCGGTTGATGACGACGGCGACATGGAGCTCGATTGCGACGAGTACGTGGAGCTTCTCTCGGCGTACGAGGCGGTCAAGGTCATGGACTCTGAGCTCTCTGTTAAGCTCATGTTTAACATGCTGGACGCCGACGGCGACGGTTCCATCTCGCTCACCGAGCTGCGCGAGGCGCTCAACTCTCTCGGCAACGGCGAAGCATTCTCCTACACAGAGGTCGAGGAGCTGCTCCGCGACATCGATGAGGACGGTGACGGTGAGATTGATTTGGAAGAGTTGGGCGCACTGATGCGGACCATGATGCAATAAGTGAGATAGCGCAAAAAGGGGGAAAGCACACTAGCTTGCGGTCGAGCGCGAGGCCGAGCCGGTGCCAGTGTCAGTGCCAGTGACGGTAGGCGAGCCCGAGCCGGAGCCCGAGTCCGAGCCCGAGTCCGAGCCCGAGCCTGCGTGGTGCGCGTCGGCCAGTGCGGCTTCGCCATCCGAGACAGACGGCGAGCGATGGAGGGCAGCGTCAAAGATGTCGAGAGCATAGGTGGCGACAATGGTGAGAAAAGGTAGACCGATGCGTGCTGGGTGATGGTCCGCAGATGGTGGCCGGCGACACACTCGCGGTAGTCGTAGACGCCGTCGTTGTCGGGCGCGTCGCAAGCGACGACGCGGCCAACGCCCTGGTAGAGGATGACGGTGACGCAAGCCATGGAGACAAGGACCCGCTTCAGCTTGAACGAGAGTGAGAGCCAGACAGCGCCGCCAGAGAGTGCTTGCCCGACGACAATGGTGTTGAGGACGGTGGCGATCATGGTAAAGAGGAAGAAACCGGCAGCGCCGAGGACGTGGAGGCCGATGGAGACGCGGGTAGAGACGGTGCCGACAATGATGCCAAACGGAACGGCAAGGAGATGGTTGATCCACGCCACGGTCGCCATCCGGCTGAGCACGACGGGCGAGGCGCCGAGCCAACCAAAGCGGACCGGGAGCTTGCCCGAGTCTGCGGGCAGTTTGAGGGCACCGAGATGGGCGCGGAGGTAGCTGGCCTCGGTTGTGGCGACAACACCGGCAAGGAGTGCCGCCGTAGACATGCCGATGGCAAACAAGTACGTCTCAGGCTTCTCGCGGCCAGTATCGGAGATGTACGGCACGGTTAGGCCGCCGTACCACGAGTCGGTTGCCGACGAGATGACTACGCACGTAAAGATGGTCACAAGCGTGGTGGCAATGGTTCCGTACGCCGCAACCTTGTGCAGCGTGGTGCGTTGCATCATCGTAATGCCTGCGCAAAGTGGAGGTGGCGGTGACACGGAGAGGGGTGGGCGAAGGCAAGCCTGGGAGGCGGCCACAGCCGCGACAGCAAGGGGCGGCGCTGATGCAGAGGCGCACGTGGGCGGCGCCAGCCGGCCGCCAGCCGACGCCTCGGGCGCCCACGTGAAAGGCAGACGGTGCAAAATATTTTCCCATAAGGGTGCAGCGGACGGACGGGTGGGGGTGGAGCGCTGGGAAGGCGGCAACGGTGGCCAAACGGTGGTAACGCTTGTCGCAGACGACATGCAACGTTCTTCATTGTGAGTTCCACCAACGAGCCGAAGGAGATTGAGGAGGTGAGGGGCACGGTTTGTGCACCCGGATGGTACTCATGCATGCCGGGGGGCTGTTGGGGCGAGAGGGTGCAGACGCCGCGGACGTGTGTCGCCATACGTGGTGGTGGCCGGAACGGGCGAGGCTGGACTTCGCCGGCGGCCTGGCGGACGGAGCCGCAAGCTCCCTGCGCTTGTCTTCCCTTCGCCTACGGCACTGGACCATCCAAGTGTGAGGAGTGCGCTGTTTGAGGCAGGCAAGGGGAGCCGGTCGCCGTTGCCGCCGCGTCGGCAGCATCGGAGGACGCGGAGCTATGAGCCGCGGCGGCGGGCGCGGCAGCCGGGCCGCGGCGGACGCAGCGGATGGGGTGAGGTGAGGCAGCCGTCGCATCATCGGCGTTTCCCTAGCGTGGTGAGGCTCCAGAACGAGCAACCGGGAGGGACGCTATGGCGCCCGCCGCGTACAGGGCCGGTCCAGGCGGTGGCGCTCGACGCGGTGGCACTGTCTGCGCCTGTGGTCATTCCGTCGCGGCGGGCAGCCGAGCGGAGCACGCACCAGCCGGCAAGTGGACGAGAGTCAACGGTGAACAAGGCGAGCGGCGATGGCGGGACGATGCAGATCTGGGACTCGCCATTCTCGACACTGGCACCGCGACGGGCGTCGCCGGACCCGCTTTCGGGTCTTCCAGAGTTTCCGGACGTGGCGTCGCGGCTGGCAATGAGCGAGGCAGCGCAGCAGAGGTCTACATCGCCTGTGTGGCGGCAAAGGCCGGTGACGCCGCCCAAGGTGACCGGATCGCCCCTCACGCCTCGCTCACCATTTGATCCGGCGCGGATCGAGGCCAACCGGGCGCGGCGGATTCGGACGCTATCGCCGATGGCGGCGCCGCCGCTGGTGCTTGCGACTACGGATCAGATGGAGGCAGCAGTTGACGAGGCCGACCAGCTTGAAGCGACAGTTTCGAGCCGTTCGCGGTCGCGGTCGCATTCACCGCAGCTCGTGCTCATCGGCTCGGGCGAGTCGTCACCTACCGCTGCGGTGGGCGTGGCTGTTGCGCCCAGAGCGGCCGTAGTCCGTGTACCATCAGCCGGCGCGCTTCCGCAGTGCGACGGCGACGAGGTGGGTCTGTCGTCGCATGGATCGAACACGACGATTGTGTGGTCAGAGTCGTCGTCGTCTGTTTTGTCGGAAAGTATGCTTGCGGGGCTTGATGAGTTGTCTGTCAGCCCGGCCGTGGTTGTTTCTTCCCTTGACGGGCGCTCCGACGACGGATCTGTGTCATCGCTCGGCTCGTGGCTCTCGGAGGTTTCGTCCGAGACTGCGATTTCGGACATTGTTGTAGAGCCACAAGCCAACCCGTATCCAGACTTTGGACCGATGATCGAGTTTTTCGACAAGCTTGGCCGCGGCGAGTTTGAAGTGCTGGACCGTGCAGCGCTAGAAGCTTCACACAAGACGGTGGATGGCGTGGCGAAGAATGCTGTTAGGGACGGCGAAAAGCAAGCGCTATCAATGGTTCTGTCCAAGGCGTCAGATGGCGGGGAGAACCAGTGCGAATGGGTTGCGTCGCGGCGGGTCTCACTGTCGAGCTACTCGCTGCGGAAGCATGTGCTCGGCTCGTCGGCCGGTTCGATTGATATGACGTCGTCTGTGCACACAGGACGGTCGCGGTCGCGGTCGATGTCATCGTGGTCGGGGAGGCGGCGCGGATTCCAGTGGTCTGCGAGCGAGGCTGAGATTTCTGCGGCGACACTCATCCAGGCCTCGTTCCGTGGTTTCAAGGTGCGGATGAGTCAGAAGCGAGCGCAAAAGCGCGCGAGCGGAAAAAGGACAAGTTTCGGTTTGTGGTCCCGGAACCACTGACGTGGGAAAAGGTGGAGGAGCGCGAGGCCAAGGCACGGAGTGCTAGCGAAGCGCTGCTGGCGTCACTTGCGGACGAGTCGCCGGCGCGCGAGTTACTTGCGGCGATGAACGAGGTGCGGGCGGACCCAGGTGGGCTCGCCGATGCGCTGGAGGAGCGGCTGCAGTACTTTAAGAACGGTGTCCTGTGGGTGCCGGGCGTGCCGATGGGCATCATGACCATGGAAGGACGCGCCGGACAGGACGACGCGATTGCCTTTACAAGGCAGCAAGCGGCACTGGAGCCGCTGGCGCTCTCGCCGGTGCTGTGTCTTGTGGCGGCGATGCACGCGTCTGATATCGGCAGCAAGGGCATGACTGGTTCGGAGGGCTCGGACGGGCGTGGCCTGCACGAGCGAGTATGCGCAGCGCTCGTAGCAGGCGGCGTGGCAGCATCGATGTTTGAGGCTGGCAGGCCATGGCGGGCGCCGTCTCAGGCAGCAAAGGCCCCTGTCATGCTTGAGCAAGATGGCGAGGCGTGTGAGCTTGCGGTGCTGGAGACGTTTGTATACAAGGGGTGGAGCTCTGCGCGCGATGCGGTGGTGCAGATGGCAGTGGACGACGGACTTCGAACTCGGCACCGGCGCAAGGCGCTGTTTAACTCGCGCATGACCCATGTGGGCATTGCTGTGGGGCCGCATGTGGTATACGGTTCGGTGACGGTGATGGTGTACAGCTCGGGCGGGCTGGAACAAGTGGGGCGCGGGATTGAGGGCATGTCGGCGGAAGAAGGTGTGCAGGCTGCGATGCAGCTCTCAGCGGAGCGCAATGGGGCGATGGCGCTTGTCGGGTACGCGGTGCGGCAGACTGTGGTCTCGCAGGCTTACACCGAGCCGTCGCTCGAGTGCCCTGGGTGCCACTCTGCGGTGGGAAGTCACATCGGCAAAGTGTACGTGGGCCAGAGCCCGTGGCACTCTGAGTGCTCGTCCGTCTGCCGGGTGTGTCTCTCCGGGCGGGCGCATTTGCTGAAGGACGGGACAGTGCCGACGTGTTCCGAATGCTTCCACTCGCTGTCGCAGTACCGTTGCGATGCGTGTGCACAGCCGTTGGTGGACGAGTTCGTTGCGCACAAGGAGCGGCAGCGAGCGCTCTGTCTGGAGTGCTTCCAGGAGCTTAACATCCGGTCGGGCAACCCTACCGTGGCAAGCAGCTCAAGAACCCCTTTCCTCGAACGGCGCAAGACTGTCGGGGCATTGACTGGCAGGCGGCTGTCTGTGGGCGAAGGCGGCGGCAAGTCTGCGGCGTTGGTGCGGCGGATCACTAGCTTTAAGCTGGACGAGTGGGTGGGCCAGCGTGTGCGACCTGCGCCAGTGCAGGCCCGCAAGTGGTAAAGATCCGATCTTGACCGCTGGGGAGTAGAGAAGTCAAGGCTGCTGTAGGAGCGGAGACGTGACCGAGAGGACCAGAGGCTGCGGGGAGGAAGAGTGCCGGTGGCGGTGGTGAAAGGAGCCAATGGTCCACGTTGTCTGAACGGCGACGCCACATGCGGTGGTGACGACAAAAGCGGCGAGGAGAGCAAAGAATGAGAGGGTAGCCGCCGGCTGAGGCGGTGGCGAGTAGGCGTAGATCTGGAGCGAGACGAGGACGCGGCCGACGGCGGCGCGAAAGTATCCCGACTGCCAGCGCGAGAGGGCCAGGTGCGAGCCACAGCCGATACCAGCGGCGGCGAGGAAGACGTCAAAGGCGACAAAGAAAGCGAACGAGCCAACCCACGAGGTGGCGAGGATGAGGACCATGCGCTCAGCCATGAGGGCGACAACGCCGGTGGCAAAGGCAACGGCGGCGACAATGACGAGGCGGACAAGCGGCGAGGTGTGCGCAACAAGCTGGCTACCTGCGGCTGGAATGGAGAGGACGACGCCCATGAGGACGATGCCGGCGCAGGCACCGACGGCAAAGATGCCGGCGCGGAGGGCCGAGTGCAGGATGAGGAGGGCGAGAAGAGCGGCGATCGAGGAGGAGGCGATGCGGGCGGCGAGCGAGAGGTGCGGCGCGTACTGGATGAGAGCGAGCCAGGTCAGGCCGCCGAGAGCGAGGGCAAGGAGGGTAAAGGCGAGACGGAAGAGGCGGTAGCCGAGGGCGATGGCAAGGATGCCGGCGAGAGCGACAGCGGCATAGCCGACTGTGTCGAGCAGCGAGAGCGAGCATAGAGCAGGGAGACAGGCTGTGGAGCCCGGCGCGCGCCACTGGTCTGCGGCGCATTCGAGGACCGTGGCGTTGGTGGCAGGGAAGCACTCGCCGCGGTTCATGCACCAGCCGCAGGCGCCGTCGGCCACACACGTGTTGCAGTAGGCGCTGTCGCAGGCGGCTTGCGGCGCGGCAGTGGCGGCAGTGGCGAGGACGAGCACAAGCGCAAGCACCAGGAGTGTGGGTGTCAAGCGTGGTTTCATTGCAGCGGCGGCGGAGGAAAGGCGGCTGGCTCAGAGGTGGAGATGAGTGTCGTCGAGCGGCGGCGGCGGAACAGCCGGCGGCGGCGGGCGGTTCATGACCGACTCGCCCTCAAGGACTGTGCCGTCGGCGGTGACGAGATGAATCTCGATGTCAGTCTTGGCAGCGGCGCGGTCGGCGGCGGCAGCAGCCCAGTCGATGGAGGCGAGTGCGGTGAGCTTGGCGAAGTCGTCCTCAAAGACGCAAGCGAGCATGTCTTGCAGGTCAGTGCGTGTTAGGCCGTCGGCGGTGAGCTCGTCGGCTTCGACCTCGGCGTCACCGGCACGGTAGCCGAGGGCGTTGACGAGAACGGTTTGAAGAGTGGCCGGGGAGATGTAGCCGTCATCGTGGACTGGAATGGAGGCAAAGGCGGCGTCAATTGAGGGGGCTGTGCCGATGGCTGGAGGGGAGGGAGGTTCGTCGTCAGGGGTCGAGGGAGTGGTCGCAGCGGGCGGCTCGTCAGCTGGGGCATGGTTGGAGGAGTGGGAGTCGTTGCGGTGGGCGGCTCGTCAGCTGGGGCGATGGTCGAGGAGGGAGTGGGAGTCGTTGCGGTGGGTGGGTCTTCAGCCGGGGCGATGGTTGGAGGATTGGGAGTGGGAGTCGTTGCGGTGGGTGGGTCTTCAGCCGGGGCGATGGTTGGAGGAGTGGGAGTCGTTGCGGCGGGTGGCTCGTCAGCTGGGGCGATGGTCGAGGAGGGAGTGGGAGTCGTTGCGGTGGGCGGCTCGTCAGCCGGGGCGATGGTCGAGGAGGAAGTGGGAGTGGTCGCGACAGGCGGGTCATCAGCTGGGGCGATGGTCGAGGAGGGAGTGGGAGTCGATGCGGTGGGTGGGTCTTCAGCCGGGCGATGGTTGGAGGATTGGGAGTGGGAGTCGTTGCGGTGGGCGGCTCGTCAGCTGGGGCGATGGTCGAGGAGGAAGTGGGTGTGGTCGCGACAGGCGGGTCATCACTGATGGCAACAGGGGCAACGATCGGGACAGGAGCAAGCTCGTCCACTAGGTCGTCAACAGGCAAGTCAACAATAGAGTTGGCTGGGCGGTCAGTCCCTGCGATCACAGTCGGGATGACCGAGATACCATGCTCACGAACAAGCCGCCGCAATGCAACGAGCTCCTGTTCTTGCTGTGAAATGATGTGGCGCTGCTCGGAAATGATGCGGGTGAGCGAGTCAACAACACGGTCTGGCGATGGTGGGAGCGTCGAGCTTGGTCGCGGCGGCAGGGCGGGAGCCGGCGAGCGCCGCGACGGTGAGGACGCACTCGAATAGCGGAAGGCGGCAGCAGGAAGCGGCGCCGTCAGCCCCGATCCGGCTGGATGTGCGCCGCGGACAGGCGAAAGCGTCCGCGTCCGCTGGTGCGATAGGAGCGAGCCGTAGCCGACAGTGGTTCGGGTCGGCGACCGCGACCGTGACCGCAGCAGCCGCGACCGGGCCAGAGCCACGGTGGCCCCGCGCTCAAGCTCGCGCTGGCTAGCTTCGCGAGTCGCCCGCAGCGACCGTGCCTGTGCCACAGAGTAGCCGGGGGAGTGGGTTGGCGACGGCAGCGTACGCAGGTCCGACGCCCGCAGCCGCTGCCCACCCACGGCGCTGGTGGCGTCGACCGCCCACGAGGACAAGACCGACGAGAAAGCACCCTCGGTCCGCGGTACGCTCACGCCAAGCGTCGCTGCGTGGCTCAGCAGCTGCGTCGTCCGCTGGCTGTAGTGCTGCGCCGATGTGGCCGACATGCAGTCGCAACCAAGTGCAATGTGACCGATAGCCAATGACTCGTCTGTCATGCAAATGGTTTGACAATCTGGCGATCGTGCACGTGCGGAGCCGGCAACGGCATCGTGAAACGCCGCTTTTCGCCCGAGTTGTGTGGCTTACGTCAAAAGCAGTGGCAGTCGCAAAACAAGCCAGTTTGCACCTAGTAGGCACTTAATTAGCGAAAAACACTCGTTGACCCAGCACCTGCGCCTCTGCCCAACACCACAGCACGCACGCACACAAGCACGGCTAATACCAGCATCTTCACTCTACCCTACCCCCAGCACCATGTCTGCAAAGTCCACCATCACTTATAACTGTACGCTACCCTCTCTCCTCCTTCCCGCTCACAGCAAGGCCTTTCTTCCACTCCACCGCAGCCAGCCATCGCAACAACTCATCATGCGGCGCCCATGCAGTCGAGGGCAAGCTTGTCCTCGTCACCGGATCGACCAAGGGCATCGGATTTGCCGCCGTCCGGGCCTACCGCCGCGCCGGTGCATCGGTGGTAGTCAACGGGCGGTCGACCGAGTCGGTTTCCGCGGCTGTGGCCCGGTTGACCAAGGAGACGGCCGACGACGCTGTGCCCGAGTCTGCGCTCATCCACGCCCTGCCGTGCGACCTGGCTGATGGCGCCGAGGTCAAGCGTGCCATTAGTGAGCTGGAGGCGATCAGCGAGCTCGATGTTCTTGTGCTCAACGCTGGCTACTACGGCGTCGTCGAGTTTGCCGACATCGACGACGGTGCGTGGGACGACATCTGGAACGCCAACGTCATGTCAGGCGTCCGACTTGCACGGGCGTACCTACCCAAGATGCTGGCGCGCAACTCGGGCAACATTGTGTTTATCTCTTCCGAGGCCGGCCTGCGGCCCATTCCGCACATGACCCACTACTCGGTGACCAAGGCAGCGCAGATCGCGCTGGCACGCAGCCTCGCAGAGCTCACCCAGGGCACCGCTGTCCGCGTCAACTCGGTCCTGCCCGGGCCTACCTGGACTGAAGGTGTTGCCAACTTCATTGTCGGCATCCGCGACAAGCTCCGCGCTGACCTCGGTCCCGATGCTGATCCGGCCGCCGTCGAGGCCATCACCACCGAAAAGGCCGCCAAGGACTACTTTGTCAACGAGCCGACCTCGCTCATTGCTCGCTTCCTCGATGTTGAGGAAGTTGCCAACGTCATTCTCTTTATCTCGTCCGACGCTGCGTCTGGCATCAACGGTGCCGCCCAGAAGGCCGAGGGCGGCATCGTCCGCCACATTGCGTGATCTCATCAGAGAGTTTGGCCAGCTGCGTCGCACCTCGCCCGGGCTCGGGCCCGTAAATGATATTTTTCGCAAGTTGCGATGGAGACCAGCAACAGCACCGCTGCTAGTAGCCTCAATCCGATCAGTGGTCCGGTCTGTGGTTTGGCGCCGACTCGCTGAACATGCCGACTGCAGCCGTGCTGTGTGGCGAGCAAAGGATCGGCGTGAAATGGACGGTCTGACGTACACCCGTCCCGAACACACCCACAGGTTCGAACATGGCGAGCGAGTCGGAGTACTCCAAGTTTACGCCGCGTGAGAACAAGCGCAAGGCCCCGCTGCAGCCGCATGTCGACCTCGATGCCATGCGGGCGCCACCGACCTTCTGGGACCGCATTATGAGCCAGCCGCTGGTTCCCGGTTGTACGTAGAGTGCGGGAGGGAGGGGGCGGGCTGAGGTGACGCGGCAGCGTAAACGAGGGCAACTTTGGGCGCAGGAAATGAGCCACTCACAGGAAGATGTGCCGATTGATGTAGTGATGCTCACGACGGCACTTGTGCTGGGCGCCGGGATGTGGTCGTTCAAGACCGGGCGGGCTCAGCTGTCGCAGAATTTGATGCGGGCGCGTGTCGTGGCGCAGTTTGCTACCATCGGCGCGCTGGTGGCTGGCTCGTACACGATCGGGTTCGGAACAGGCGACAGCGGTGATGAGGCAGGACGCAACGAGTTTGATGCCAAGGCTGTCGAGTCCGACGACTACCACGGTTAGAAGCTGGCTGTTTCGGCTAAGCGTCGGCCGGGATGACCGAGACGGCAAAGACAAAGACGTCGCCGAGCTTGACCTGCATGCCGTGGTCGACAAAGGCAAACGAGCCGCGCTGGACCGGAATCCAGGACGCGCCCGCTGGGCTACCGGACGGAGGTGCCACGGCACACGGGACCGCGGCATAGTTGGTGAAGATGTAGCGGCCAAGGAGTGACGAGAAGTAGAACGTGGCATGGAGCGACTCGAGGTCGTCGACGGTGGCGTGCGCCAGCTTGAGGGCTGCGACGTCTTCGGGCACGTCGGCCTCTAGGCATGCGCCAAACGAGGTGCCTGGATAGTGAACGCCCATGGTGGTCATCCCCATAAAGGTAGCGCCGTTGACAATGTCGAGGTTGAGACCGGGCGGCGAGGCGAGCAGCGGATAGTCCGAGTAGTAGTGGGTCGACTCGACAGCCATGACGACCAGCTGCGAGTCGCCGAGGTACAACTCGGAGCCGCGCCACAGTGCGGTGGTCTTGCCCGTCTCGGCGTCGCGCGAGCCGAGGTTGACAAGTGCGCGCGACCACGGCTGGGCAACGAGCGTTCCGTGCGTCGAGCCCTCGTCTTTGGCCATGAACTTGGTCCCGTCATACCAGATGGTGCAATGCTCGGACGAGACCGAGCCGTCAGCGATGAGCACGTCACCGTCCGAGTCATCCGGATCCTCGTCGTCGAAGCGGCCGACAAGGACCGGGCTCGCGCGCACAATCACGTTCTGGCCACAGTCTTTGCCGTCGACGAGGACCTTGGCGATGAGCGTCGGCACGCCGCGGGGCTCCGTAACCGTCATCGGAGTCAGCGCCAGCGGCTCGGGCTCGGCGCCGGCCTCGTTGTCCTGGAACGCGTACACGTCGCGCGGGAGCACGACGCCCGCGTGCGCCGCCAGCGCAAGACCCAGGTACAAGTTCGCGAGCTGGTCGCCATCGTGGATAGACGATGCGTCCCACGCGTGGCTCGGAACCACTGGCGCCACGCCGCCAGCCTCGATGACCGGAAGCACAACCCAAAGGTTGGCCTTCTCCATCATCTCGTTCTCAGCCGCCTCGAGCGCAATCGGTGGTGCCTCGGGATGGAGCTTGGCCCACAGCGACGCAAGCACCATACCGTCGCGAAGGCAGTTGCGCGGACCGCCCAGGTCGCGCAGCATGTCGGCACCGCTAGCCCCGGCACCCTCGGGGCCGAGAATCACCGAGTTCATCCAGCCCAGAACAAATGACCGCAGCGCCTGCACGTCGGGCGAGAGCAGCGAACAGTCGAGCGCAGAAAGCGCTCCGCTGGCCGCCATGGTACTCAATACTTTGCAGACAAACAAAGGTGGACGGGGAGGAGGGGGAGAAGAAAGGGAGGGGAGGAGGGTCCTTGCGCTTGTTGCGGAAAGGAGACGTGTATGGCTAATACCGTGTGGGTGTGGCAGGAGTGGGAGCAGGGTGGCGTAACGTGGCGGCCAGTTGCGGCTTGGCGCGACACCAGGTCAGGCGACGTGCCATGTTGTCCGGAAACTTGATGGCCGATGCTGGACGGGCACTGGCCCAGTGACCGTCCAGTGGGTGGGTCAACAAGCCAACGGTGGGCGTGGTGGGCGCGGTGGGCGCGGTACTACCGCCAGCATGAGGCCTGCAATGCGTTGCGCAAAACGAGGAACGGTAGTGAGACTGCCACGATCCAGCGCCAGACCCAGAACATCAAAACGTATTAAAATTTCAGGCCAAAGGTGGTAAAATTATATATTTATATATATTGTATTGTGTGTGTAATTGTGGTTGTGATATTTCGTCTATTATTTATACTTTTATGTTTTTACAAGGTTCTTTTTATATATATATATTGTGGAGTACGATAGACCCCCTGCATGTACCATCATCGCGTCTTGGGGATAGCGTTCCGGGAACGGTCGCAGGACCGTTCTGGGACCGTTCTTAGAACGGTCCCGAACTAGGCCTTTAGCACCCTTCTCCCCTCTCCTGTCCGCATGTCGTAGTCTTTACGGAATCCCCTTGTGTACAAGTTGTAGGAATGTCGTGGGTACACACATGCCAAGTGTAGACCCTATGCGCTGCGCATTGCGCATGCCAGGCGTCGAAAACCGCGCGGGCGTCGTGTTGAGCCGCCCGCCACTGGCCACGGCGAACGGGAACGTTCCCAGAACGGTCGCCGGGAACGTTCTGGGAACGGTCGCAGAGGGCGCGAGAACAATGGCTGTATATATACGCGTACACAGCTGTGATATGCGTGATATGCGGCGGTAGGGGGTGGCGGGTCTGTCCCTTGCTCCCCTGCCAGTTTGGGGCGTCGAGCGTGCTCAGCGCGTGAGTACAGGCGCACCACTGCTGTGGCCCACCTGAGGCCTGTCGCTGGCTGGGTCGCGGCAGGGACCGGCACGATCAGACTGGCTGCGTGAGGGGCTTAGGTGCGGGCTGTACAGCGATGACAGGCGGGAAGTCGTGCGGTCCACGCCAGCGCGCCTACCGCTGCTTGCGGGTATTAAGCACCGGCCACGACGGCCACAGATGTCGCTGACAAGGTGATGGAATCCCTGCGCCGTCAACGTTTGAGCTTGTTGCGTACATTGCACAGACTGCCAAAGGCGACGAGCACCATCTAAGAAGTAGCGGTGTTGGTGTTGCCAATGGATGGCTTGCCCGCGATCGGCGAGATCCCATGGCCAACTCGCATGTGCGGGTCCGCCGGACAACGGCTGCCATCGGCCACCAGCGTTGGCCTGCCTCCCGTGGCGGCCGGCAAGGACCTCGGTGCGGCGCGCACGTCTCGGCACCTCTGTTGGTCGGTCCTCAACGAAGGATCGGCGAGGAGGCTGCGCACTCTTGCCCACAACGACTCTCGGCCGGCACTACCCGCAACGCCATCGAACTCGAATGCCCCAGCTTGAACGCAAGCGTCGGCCCGCTCCACGGCAGCCGGTAAGGAGCTCGGTGCGGCGCGCACGCCACGGCACCCTCATCGTCGGCTCTCTCACCCAGGGCCGGTAAGGAGACGCGCGCATCCAAGCGCTACACCAAGAAACAAACATAACTGACTTCATTTTCTTCCCCTGTTCTCCTCCCCCTTCCTCTTCTTCCTCGGTCCCTCCGCCCGATACTTTGGCCCGCCCTCCCACCGCGGCCCCGGCTCGGCTGCGACCCCACCGCCTCCACGTCCCTTCCGCCGGCTCTTGTTCTGCCACACGCCCCATCCTCCCATCTCACCCATCACACCACCGCTCGGCCGTGAGATGACGAATCCCGCGAGCGACCGGCTCGACTCGCGCGCGCCGTACACCACGTCGGCATCGGTGATCCGCGCGCGCGTAACGCGGCGCGCAATGATGGGAGCGCGTCATTTCGGTTATACGCCTCGTCGATGAGGAGCACCTTGCCGGCGCAACGGTGGGGGGTGTTCGCGATGTGACGCAAAAAGCCTCGCCATGCCATGGCAAGCCCAATCCCCCACCATGGCAAGCCCAAGGCCGGCCAAGCTGTGGCCAGTCCGCAGCCCGGCCATGGCCAGCCCGCCGGTTGGTTGTCGAACGCAACTCGACCACGCTACTTCGGCTCACCTAGCCAGCCGCAGCCAAAGGCATACCCGCTTCCAACCTCACCACATGGCACTCCACTGCTTCAGGCTTCCTCACAGGAAGCTTGCACGCCGCTCTCTAATCTCCCCACTCGCCTACGGTCCTCATACCCCGCAACCGGCCGAGGGCCTGACACAGCCCCCTCACCCGCACACTTTGCTCTCTTGCACACGTCCATGGAGCGCTACCACAGGCTCGGCGTGGTCGGCAAGGGCTCGTCCGGCAGTGTGTTCCTTGTAGAGGACGTGGAGACTGGGGCACAGTATGTACACAAGCTCATCGATCTCGCCGACTTTGACGACAAAGCCGTGGCCGCAGCTCGGACCGAGGCTGCAACACTGGCGAGGCTCGACCACCCAAACGTGATCCAGTTTGTGGAGGCCATCGAGAGCGAGGGCAAGATGAACATTGTGATGGAGCATGCCGGCGGCGGCGACGTCTCGCTCATGCTCAAGTCGCGAAACACGATCCTGCTCTCCGAAGACGAGGTCATGGCAGTGTTTATCCCGCTCGCCCTCGCCCTGGAGTACGTGCACGGGCACAAGATTCTGCACCGAGACCTCAAGGCCCAGAATGTTTTCATCACCCTGTCCGGAGAGATCAAGTTGGGCGACTTTGGTGTTGCCAAACCGCTGGCGGGCACGCTCGAGTCTGCACGGACCGCCATCGGCACGCCATACTACCTCTCGCCCGAAATTTGCGCCGAGCAGCCGTACAACGCAAAGTCGGATGTCTGGGCCCTCGGCTGCATCTTGTACGAGCTCTGCACTCTCCGCATGCCGTTCGAGGCCCGAAACTTCAAGGGACTTGTCCTCAAGATCCGCAAGGGTACCTATCGCCCTTTGCCCGAGTGGTACTCCGCTGACCTCCTTGACCTCGTCGATCTGCTTCTGCAGAAGGATCCCAAGAACAGGCCCATGGTCCATGACATCCTCACCCGCCCGTACTTGGTCCGTTACATCACTGCATACCGCGCAGGCGAGCTCTCCATCCCCGGCACCGCTCTTGCTCCCCAGCCGTCTGCCGAGAGCCTGCCAGACAGCCTGCCGTCGCTTCCAAGCCCGGTTCTTCCGGCTACGCCACACCTTAAGGGCTCAAACTCGAGCAGCAAGGCTGCTGCTGACATCAGTCATACCAGCGACGCCTCCTCACTCTCGGGTCTTAACGATCTCATTGACGATTCGTCCTTGTCGGGCGCATCGGACCTCCTCGCTGCTGTCGAGGCCGGTGATGCCGAGCGTGAAGAAGAACTGCGTCTGCTTATGCTGGAGAAGATTCGCTCCAAAATCATGGCTCAAAACCAAGCCAAAAAGGTCAAGAAGGCCAAGAAGGCCAAGAAGGCCAAGTCCAAGTCCAAATCCAAGTTCAAGGCCAAGTCTCGCCACAAGGGCAAGGTCAAGTCCAAGTCCAAGTCCAAGTCCAAATCAAAGCCAAGGCGCCTCTCTGGTGGCTACTCGGCCACGTCAAGCTGCTCACGCTCCAAGTCTCGCTCCAAGTCTCGCTCCAAGTCTCGCTCCAAGTCACGCTCCACACCACGGCATCTCGCGCTCGTGTCCTCATCGAGCGCAACATCCACATAGCTCTTGCGTTTTACGACTCAAGCCATCATGCGCTCGTAAGCAACGACAAAGGCATCGCGAGCAGCAACCGCCTTGAGCACGTTGGCGTAAGACCAGGTGAGGTCGGTGGCCGACATCTCGAACCCGGTGTCGCGGTCGAGCTGCTCCGAGAGGTGGAAGCCAGCGCCAGCAACATGATAGCGAATGCGCTCGAGAACGCCGTCGCCGGCCGATGCGAGCCGAAGCGCAAAGTTGGCGACGGAGAGCTTACCCAGCGACTCTGCGCTCTCGCCGAACATCTCGGCATAGTGCGGGAGCGCGTCATGCGGCAGCTTGCCAACGTTGACCACCTCGCTTGCAGCCCGATAGTGCAGCTGCGCAAGCGCGGCGGTGGTGAGAATCCACGGGTTGCCACCTGCATACGTGTCACCAGCGTACCGCCCGTAGAGAACTCCCGGGATGCCGTTCTGAGTGTCGATGGTATTGATCTTGAACATGTCGGTGAAAGTTGCCGAGAGCACGTTCACCGTTGCCGCCACCCACGACGAGGTCGGCGCAAAGTTGGCTTCCACCGACGATCCCATGTACGCGTCGTTGAGAGCACAGATGACCGACGCACCCTTCTGCCGGTTGCTCGACTCCTGAATAAACTGCCCGTTCCAGTGGTCGCCGAGCGCCGCAAGTACCTTGCCCGCCGCCGCAGAGTACGTCGCCGCAGACTCAGAGTCACCCATCTTGGTCGCAAACGCCGCACCATCCACCAGCGCCCGGTAGTAGTTGTACCGGTTCCAGAAAAAGTCGTTCGACCGCAGCTCCTCCCACAGATCGCAAGTGTCCGACGCCCAGTTGGCTGCCACATAGTCAAGATCATACTTGATGGCCCCACCGTGATAATGGCTCTCAGAGCCGGTCCACAGGTACTTGGCCACGTAGCTCATCGAGTTGGACGCCAGCAGATCCGTCGCAAACAGAATGAGCGTCGTTGACCGCAGCGCCGGCCCGTCATCCTGCGGCCGGCACCATCCTCCGGTAAACACGTTGGCATTGGGCAGATGATACTTGGGCTCCGCACGGATATCAATTCCATTCGGATCAACCTGGTTCTGCGCCCGAAGCACCCACTGGACGTACGAGTCCATCATCGCCGCCAGGTTGCTTGCCGAGTCGTCCGAGTGCTCGTACCACATCCGCATCGACAGCGCCGCGTCGCGCTCCCAGTTCCAGTAGTACGTTCCACCTGGCGTGTTGCGATCCGGCGAGGCAACAACGCCACCCAGGTTATCAATATTCAGGTTCGCCCGCATGAACCCACGCATCATCGCCACCTCGGTCGCGTTAAACGGCGCACCACCAGGCACAGGCCCACCCGCCGGATAAAAGCACCACGGCGTCCCCGAGTTCTATCTCCCGCTCCCGCCACCCACAAGCACCACATACCACCATGTCACAACGCCCACCCATCGCTTCGTGAGTCGCACAGCTTTCCCACCCCCCCACCCCCCCCCCCCCCCACTCCCCCTCCGCTTTTCAACCTACCTTGCCCTCAGGCGCCCAGCAGCAGCCGTGTGCTCCACACTCGGCCTGCGTCGTCCCCACATGCCCACAGTTGACCTTGTCGCTGTCAGGGAGCGAGCAGTTCTGCCCGCTCACCACCGCCACCAGCGCCACCAGCACCACTCCCATTACCGTTGCCATCGTCGTCCTCGCTTGCATGGCGCACGTGACTCGAGTACCCAAATACGACACGGCACTCGACGCAACAAGTGCTGGTGCCTGTCGTTCGACCAGCATCAACCCGCCACTTCCGGCCACAGCCCACCGGCCGCCGCTCACCCCCACACACCCCACCCTACCCCACCCCACCCACACCCACCCCGCACACTCCCCACACTCCCTCCCACTGCACCCCGCCGGCCATGGGCAACGAGCAGTCACAGCTGCTTTCACCCCGCCGCAGAATCCGCAAACTCCTCCCCAGCTCGACGCCCCAGCCTCGGCGGCACCCCTCGTCGGTCCTGTACGTGGTGACGTGGGGGACGAGCGCCTTTCGATCCTGCCTTCCTCCTCCTCCCTCGCGCTCTCTCCACACTCACCGTCCGTCCTCACCCTCACCCCTTTCCCCGTCACCCTCGCAGCCGTCAGCAACTACATTCGCCGCACCTGTGGCGGTGGTCATCGTCCAGACCACGCCACAGACCCCGCCTTCTACCACCCTCGTCCACTACGCTGCGCTTGTGCTCAAGGCACGCCAGCTGGTGGCCACCATCCTTGCCTCGGGCCACTCGGTCTGCATTGAACACGATGGCCCAACCACCTACGCCGTCTTCACTTCGCCGCTTGATGCGCTGGCTGCTGCCGCTGCCGTCCCATGCGTACTGGCGGCCTTCAACGAGGGCCAAGCCCCGTCGCCGGAATGGCACCTGCGCCTCGCAGGCGTAGCCGTCACTGCCGGCGACGGCGAGTCCCTTGCCCAGGATGCCACCACCGGTTCGCTCCACGGCCCACTTGTGGACGAAGCCAAGGCCGTCCTTCAAGCCGCCTCAGATTCCGCTCCGCTTGTCCTCACACCAGCCGCAATGGCTTCGCTCGCCGACCACCCCCTGCCGGACGGTCTCGTCCTCTACCCCAGCAACAACAGCATCACCACTGTGGCGCTCGACGCCTACCATCCGCCGGGCTTTGAGCCCGCCGCTCTCGCGAGTCTTCCGCCGCCCAGCTCGCCCTTTGTCTCTGCTCTGCTCAAGCGGTTCTCGGCGTCGCGCGCCAAGCTTGCTGCTGTTGACAAGCGGCTTTCGGCAAAGTACATTCGCGAGACTGCAGTCGTCGCCGTGGGCTACAATTGGGTCCCGCTCACCGAGACCACCGGTGTCGTGGCCTCGCTCGCTGCCCAACAAGCCACAGCAGGCCTAATCCGTCCCATTGTTGAGTCGTACCAGGGCGCCATGCTCGACCCGGCGCTCATGTGCTTCGAGTCGCCGGTCAATGCTCTCTCGGCAGCACTAGAGATCCGCTCCGCCATCGCCCTTCACAACACTATCGGTGACTCACCCATCCCCGTTCTGGCCTTTGGCGCAGCCTCGGGCAAGCTCCTCCTCGCTCCGGACACTGACGTCCACTGGGGTGAGCCGGTTTTTGCCGCCCGCTCCCTCGCTGTGGCACCTGGCGCCGCGCCAGGCGAGCTCGTCATCGCTAACTCCCTCTATGCCGCGCTCACCGCCTCGAAGGACCACGATGCCACCGCCCTTCTCGCCACCCTCGCCCTTTCTCCGCGCTCCGACGGTGCAGTCGTTGTTCAACCGACCAAGCCCCCGCCGCCTGGCTCTCCGCCTGGCTCTCCGCCCTCGAGCTCTCGAAATCCATCGCCTGCCACTCCACATCTCGCACTCCCCACCGCTGCCGCCGCGTCAACAGACAGCATGCCTGCCTGCGACGTTGTCGCCTCGGCTGAAGGCACCGTCTCTGATTCACCGGCCATTCGCCACTTCCAAGCCCCAGTCGCCTGTGTTGTCTCGGTCCTGGACGCTCCGCGGCCAACCGCCGTCGGCCCGCTTGCGTGGGCCGCGAGTCTGCTCAAGGTCCGTCAGGCCCTTCTTGCTCTCTTTCAGTTCCACGGTGCGCTCCTTGTCGAGTTTGACAGCAACTCTGCGTTCGCCGTCTTTGACTCGGGCGATGCCGCCGTCGCCGCAGCAAGCCTCATCCCGCGCTTGATTGCCAAGATCAATGCCAGCTCGCCAAACCCGTCGTGGGCTGCTGCCCTCGCTGGAGTTGGTGCTGCCTGGGGCCCAAACCTTCTCCAGGATCTCCAGACTGACAAGTTTGTGGGCGGGCCGGTCACAGCAGCACTTGCTCTGGCCAACTCGCCTGCGAATGGTGGCAAGGTCCTCATCGCTGACCCGCTCTACCGCCAGGTCGCAACTTCGTCGGCCCTCGTGTCGCTCAGTTTCGATCCTGCAACCTCCACTCCTGAAGCCGCTCATCCTGCTTTTGTTGTCGGAGGCAAGCTAAAGGGTCCGCGCTTCCGCTACGACCCCGCTCGCTACGAGTCCATCACTCACTTTGGTATTCCCATCCCTCAAGCTGCAGAGGACTTTGTCACCGCGTTGCTGCAGGCCTACACAACGGGCTCTGACGACGAGCTTACTGCCGCCGGATCGCGTTTCATCACCCCGCTCGTCGCCCTTGCCATTCACGTCGACTGGGCAAGCTTGGTGGCTGCCATCAAGCCCTCGGCCCTCCTCGCCTCCCAACAAGAGGTCTTTGTCCTAGTCAAGAATACTGTGGCTGCCGCAGGTGGCTTTGCCGTCTCGGCAAGCCTAGCGCTCTTCCCCACCGCACCCGCGGCCTTTGCTGCTGGCCGCACCCTCCAGTCGGCGCTTGGCGGCCATGTTCTCGCTGCCCATGATAATGCGCCTGTCCCGCTCCGCGGCCTCGGTCTGGCCTCTGGTCGGGTTCTCGTCGGGCCAGAGACTGATGTGGTCTGGGGCTCGGCTCTCGAGCTCGCGCGTGAGCTGGCAGGCGCTGCGCCTAGCGCCGCCACTCTTGTTGTCGAGGCTGCTTCCCTCACTGCCATTGAGCGTGAGAACCCGGCCAGCCTTGCATCGCTCACGCTGGCCGCCACCAGCGTTGCCTCGGCTGCCTGCGCCCGTGAGGTGCCTGTCGCCTCGCTCGCACCGCCGATCGATGTTCTCCGCGTCCATGACGCGACCACCGAGTCCTCCCTCGCACCAAGCGATCCGCCGGTCCTTCGCCCACATCCGCACAACTCGTCGATCGCCGCGTTCTCGTCGCCGGTCTCGGTAGTGGTCACCCACATGGCCGGCTTCTCCCGCATCACCCGCAAGCATGGCATTGTGCACTACGCATCACTGGTGATGCGAATGCGGGTCCTGATGGGGGAGCTCATGGCTGCCCACGGTGCCCTGTGCGTTGAAGCCGAGGCCGACAAGCTGTACATCCTCTTCGCCGAGCCTGCGTCGGCCGTCGCCGCTGCGCTGCAAGTCAAGCCCGTGGTCGACGCCTACAACCGCTCGCTTGCTTGCGACGACGACAAGATCCGCATGTCGGGCGTTGGCGTCGCTCACGGTGGCGCCGTCGTCCAAGACCTGCTCACCGGTAAGTACTTTGGCCCGCCAGTTGACTCGGCCTTTGTCCTCGCCGCAGACCTGGCTGCCAAGGGCGAGGTTCTGGTGGACGCCACTGTGGCTGCTTACCTCGACCATGACGCCTCGGCCTTTACCACGCTGGACATCTCGTCGCGTGGTGCAGAGGTTCTCTCCGTCTCGGGCTCGCCTCGCCCGGATCTTGCCTACGTCTATCCAGGCCAGCTTGTAGTGTCCGCTCCGCCTGCAGGCGAGCTCGACTTTGAGCGAGACGCCCTCGCTCGTCTCAGCCTTCCGTCGCGATCAGCCCGCGCTGCTGTCGAGGCCGAGCTCCGCGAGCGCTACATGCAGACACGGACGGTGCTCATGTACGGCGTTGACTGGTCGTCGACCACCAAGTCTTACGGTGTCATCCACACTATCGGCCTCAAGCAAGCCGCGCTCCAGCTCGCATCCAAGGTGGTGAGCCAGGGCGGCGGGACCGTGCTCGAGGAGACGCTCTTTGTCTTCAATGACGTGGCGGCAGCGCTCGACGCCGCCCTCGCGCTCCATGACGAGTTTACGTTCTACAACCGCAAAGCTCTTGCCGACTCGCGGGTCCCCCTCCTCGGCCTTGGCCTTCACACCGGCGAGCTCCTCCTCGCGCCCAACACTGACATCCACTGGGGCGAGCCAGTCTCGCTTGCGTCGCGGCTAGCTGAGCTCGCACCTCCGCCTCCGCCTCCGCCCGCAGAGGGACCGTCGGGTGCGAGACCTGACAGCGCCCCGATCTTTGTGTCGGGTGCGGTCCGCGAGCGGCTGGCAGCTTCGCGCCTCGCCTCGCGCCTCACCGCGCTCCGCTGGCCCACAAGCGACGACGCCGTCGAAGCCTTTGAGCTCGTTCCAGCGCCGGTCGTCGCGAGCACCCCGTCGGATCAAGGCGGCTCGGCGTATGGTGATGCGGCGGAAAGCTTGCCCAAGCTCGCCTCGCCCCACGTCGAGAGCACCGGCGGCCTAGCTGTCGAGTTCCGCCTCAAGATGCGTGTCGCCCGCCGCGCAGAGTCGCCCGAGGCGCGGCTTGCCGCCATCGAGGATCTCGTCCGCATCGCCGGCTCTGTCTCTCGGGCCGGGTTCAAGGTTCGCCGGTCCAAGATCAACTGCATCAACGCGTGGTCCGGCACCGAGGCCCGGGTGCCGGACGAGCCAGCCTTTGACTCGGCGCGGGCCGGCGGGTTCTTTGAGGCGCTTCCGCGTGCGCAGCCAGAGGTCAACCGAGTCATTGCCCTCGGCAACTACTTTCTCGAGCTGCTCGAAGAAGACAAGTCAGCTGAGCTGGTCTCTGGCATTGAGCTTGAGCGCGTCCGTGCGGCTCTCAAGGGACTCGCGCTTGTCCTCACCAACGGTGGTGGGACGCTGGAGGAGCTGCTGGACCTCTCTCTAGCGGTCATGACCTCGCTGTGCAAGGCGCCCAATGGTGGTGTTCGCTCGATCGCCGCCGCCTCAGTCTGTGCCCTCATCTATGCCCACATTCCGCATGTCCTCGCCAAGCTCACCAAGCTCGAGTCGTTTGAGTTTGTGGTGGCTGCCTGCATTTGTTCGCGGCGGACGGCGCTTCAGGCCATCGGCCTTGGCCTTCTCACCACGCTCCCGCTCCGTGAGCCTGGCTACACTCTGCTCGGCGAGGTGTTCGAGACGCTCCAGGTCGGGCTGAGGCTCCAAGTCCTCGCCCTCAACGGTGCGACGCCGCTCATCCGCTCGTCGGCGCAGCAGGTACTCGACGCGCTCGACGAGCCCGAGTCGCCACCGCCGCTCCTGCCGACGCTCGCGCTTCCAACAGTCAGCATGCTCGCCGAGCCGGCGGCACGCGGCAGCGTGTCGGTCGAGGCCGGCTCGGTCCAGCGCATTCGCATCAACGCCCCAACTCCGGGCACCGTCATCTCGTTTGCCGCCAAAGTCCACCACCTCGACGTCGGCCTTGCCGTCGAGTATCGTAAGCGCAACAGCGAGCCGGTCGCCTTCCACCACCAGGTCATTCTCTTTGCGGCAGATTCACCGTACCGTCGCTGGTTCGTGGCACCCAAGGCTGGCCGGTACGACCTGGTCCTCGACAACGAGTACTCGTGGTTTGCTTCAAAGTCCGTCTCGTACGCGGTCCACGTTCTCAGACCAGACGCTGTGGCACCCTAGCTTAGTGTACTCAGCCGCAGCCGCAGTTGAGGCTCCCAATCGTAGCCGCACACCTTGGCCGCGCTCGCTTTCAGTTCGGCCGCGCGCGTGCTCCCATCGTCGTCGGCGTGCAAGACTGCAAGCTCGAAGAGGGCGTGCGGTGTGACCCACGTCTCGCCGCAGATCTCCGGCGTCGGCGGCGCCGGAAGCCCAGCCGCACACAAGAGCGAGGCAGATGCTTGCTCTCGCGCGCCAGTTAGTGCAAGGAGCACGCCGCGGATGAGGTGCTCCACGTGCCGGGCTTCATGCGCAAGACTAGGCTCAAGCATGCGGGCCCACAGAGACGATTCTCCTGCAAGTCGCTCGTCAAGTACCTTGAGCCACGCTGCAGCGCGCTCGGCGCTAAAATGGTGCAGCTCGCGATCGAGGTAAAAGACGGTAAACGCCACAAGACCAAGCGCCTGTGCTGCTAACAGCCGCGAAGCAAGCCGCGACTCGGGGGTCGCCCGTGACTCGCGCTCCGCCTGCTGCGCAAGCAGCTGCGCGCCGACGTCATGTCGCCCAGCCAGGACGTGGGCACCAGCAACCGCCAGCCCGGCCCGGCCACGCAGAGTAGCATCGTCGACCTCGGCTGCAGTGCCCAGAGCGGCAATAGCATGTTCAAAGTCACCAAGGCAGAGCGCGGTCATCCCAGCCTCATACGCCAGGAGACCGACCAGCGTCGAGCGCCGTGCATCCATGCCCGAGCCGACAACCGCATCCAGCGCGGAGGCGGCGACTTCAGGCTCACCACGGGCTCGCGCCGCCTTGCCAAAGATCAGTTGCACCATCGGCAGCGGACGTGACGAAGCTCGCGCTAGCTCAGCTAGCATCGCTTCAGCTTCAGCCAAGCGCGCCTGCTTGCTATCTCCAGAGCGTCCGCGCGGGTAGCTGACCAGCGAGCATGCCAGGAGCAGAGTGGCCAGCGGAGCGTCGATCGACGACGACACCACAGCCTCGCGCAGAAGCTCCCAGCCCTCACTCACTGTTATCGACACGCCACTCATCTTGGATGCCATCGACGGCAGTGAGGCCGGGCGAGCAGGATGCCCGCGCCGCCGCGGGCAGTCGCCACCGACGCTGCCACCGGTGCCGACAACTCTGGCTCGACGTCCGCCAGCCGCGACGACGACAGAAGCTTGGACGCTTTCCGGACGTGATAAGCAACCTTGAGCGAGCTTCCGCCGTTCATGGCCATGACCGCACACAGCGCCAGCCTCGTTAGTGCCGCCACCGCCGTCGCGTCGCCGACCGCATCCGCAGCAGAACAACTCGAGGTGGTGGCCTCCAGATACGCCGCCCACTTGCGTGTCGAACGATGGGCGAGCGAGCCGGCCACGCCTGCCAGCCGAGTTAACCGGCTGAGCGCCTGCTGGCGGTGTGCAGCCTGGGCAGACCACAGCGCGCGCGCGAGGGCGTTGAGAGCATGGACCCAGCAGAGCCGGAGCGAGGCCGGCGGGATCCATCTCGCACCGCCCTTGGCGGCCTCGTACTCGCCGAGAACCCGGACGACTGACTGGGCCAGAGCAGTGTCAACTGCCGCGTACCGGCCCTGCGCCACCATCCGCACATACAGCGCCGCCGCCGGGTGCGGATGGTGCTCGCCGCGCCCTCCGCGCACCAGCCACGCCGGAGTCTTGTCCGCCATCGGTGTCGGCGCAGCCGCTGGCGCAGGCGTCACCTGAAGCACTGTCGACGGCGCCGGGACAGCTGGCACCTCTAGCGTCAGGCCGACTGTCCGCTTTCTGCGGCGCGGCTTCCTGCGGATGGTTGCGGTGGCAGTGGAAGATTGTGGGGGTGGGGAGGCAGAGGGTGGAGGTGGGGCCGAGGGTGTATCTGCGGATGAGGCCGACCAGTCCAAGGACGAGGAGGACGACATAGAGAAGGGAGGCGGGGGAGGGGGGGGGGGCTGTGAGAGGGCTGTGGTGGCTGTGGCTGAGGCTGTGGATGGAGGATACGTCAGGTGGAGAGTGGCTGTGGCTGGGTAGGGGGGGGAC